GTCCGATTGGGACGTAGAGACAAAATTTTTACATTTTATTGATATTATCAAGCTCCAGGTCAGTCTTGCTTTCCCGGAAAAAGTCGTTAAAATGTCCACAATTAATGGTGATCAGATTAAATAGTATGACCAAGAACTAAAATATACACTAGTTGTAATGACATTTATGGTCTAAATATTAGAATATTTAAAGGTGTCATAGACTTAATAACTTCACCCTTAACAAAATTAATAAACCTATGTATAAAAGAATCGATCTTTCCTGAGTGCCTAAAAATTGCAAAGGTTATTCCAGTCCATAAAAAAGGCGACAAGAACGATCCATCTAATTATAGACCAATTGCAATTCTCCCTATATTTTCCAAAATTTACGAAAAAATTCTGTATAGTCAATTAAGTAACCACTTGGAAGCAAACAGTTTTTTTCCACATCTCAGTTTGGTTTTAGGAAAAATAAATCGACCACTGACGCAGTACATAACTTAGTTCAGGTTATAACGTCGTATTTCGAAGAAGGAGCGGCGAGAGTCACATCATTCCTAGATCTGTCTAAGGCGTTTGACTGCGTCTGTCCCAAACTTTTGCTACGCAAACTAAATTGCTATAATATGCACTTATCTAATCGTCTGCTAATAAAATCTTATCTGGAAAACAGAATGCAAGTTGTGAAATTTAAAGACGACACTTCGCAACATCTTCCGATCGATAATTGGACCTCTCCTTTTTCTAATATTTATCAACGACTTACCGTCATCTTTAACGTCCAACTGCATCTTATACGCAGACGACACAACTTTAATAAATAGATTAGCCGATGGGAAGTGAAGTAAAGGAACAGGCGCAGTCGGAAGCCTTCAATTGGTTTGAAGAAAACAAACTCCAGGTGAATGTAAAAAAAACTGTAAATCTATTGTTTAGCCTACGACAATGCGAAACACCATCAAACTTTCATGAATCCGTGAAATTCTTAGGCCTCGATATAGACTCCAAACTAAGTTGGAATACTCACGGTAATACACTTGCCAGAAAGATATGCAAGAACATATTTCTGTTAAGAAATCTTAAAGATCATATTCCAGTTGCGTCAATACGCACTGCTTACTTTGCATTATGTCAGTCACACATGACCTATGGTCTATTAATCTGGGGCCACGCTACTGTTCGGAACCGAATTTTTGGCCTTCAACGTAGAGCACTTTATTACACTAAAAATACTCACATTACCCTCTTTATATATTTATGTGTGTTTAGTTTATGTTTTGTGTCATAAAAATGATTTTTTAGTACATAATGAGGTACATGCTTATAACACACGTCATAATGACAACTTATGTATGAGGAAATTGAGATTGAAAAAATCTGAAAATGCATCAGAATATTATGGAATAATATTTTAAATAAACTACCTAATTATTTTAAAAGTTTAGATATCAATCAAAGAGATCCATGTTTTCAAGAATAGGTTAAAGGCTCTATTATTATCTAAAGCCTACTACACATTTGACGAATTTCTATCTGATGCCCTGTAATCTCTTAATATGACGTGTACAAAAATTGTAATATTTCTATGTACGAATAAATTTATTTTATTATTTTATTTTATTTTATTATTTACATGTGGCTTGTAATTATGGATATTAAAATCGCCTACAATTAACACCTTAGAATTATTTTCCTGTAAGTGATTGCTTATAACGTCAAAAAACAATTGATAATCTTTTAAGGCAGCTTTTGGTGGAATATAAACAGCAAGCAAATCAAATTTTATGCTATTGTGAATTATTTTTAGCAGAATCGAGGATGGTAAAAGTACATTTGTAAATTTGGATAGATCCATTTCTTCATAGAAATATTACGATCAAGGGCTACTGCAACACCTCCACCTTTAGTTAAATGCATATCTTTAAACTTACGATCAGACCTAACGATGTCATATTTATTTGGAAAAATCTCAGCATTATGAATTGAATCATCAAGCCAAGTTTCAGTCAGAATTATGATATCAAAATTACGTGCTGCAGATTCATTGTATAATGCATCAAGTTAAGAGTTAACACCTCTATCATTTTGGTAGTAGATGAGAACGTCATTTGAACTTAAAATAGAGGACGTTTCGGATAGTTGCTATGACGAAAAGATATTATTTCTTAATTGTTGCAGAGCAATTACTTAAGTAAGTAAGGCAACGTGTATCCCAAGCAGCATGCCCATTATCTAGTATTGTATCAGATTTTTTTGCAGCTTTAACACAGTTGATTTTAAATTTACTGCTGAACAGTCTTTAACTTCGTGTTCTTCAGAACATCTGGGACAGCAAACCTTTACAGTACAGACACGAGAGGAATGACCAAAACTGTTACATTTATAGCAGCGATTTATCTCCAAGGCGTCATATACATTACAGAAATCGTATTATACGAAAAAACCACGGGCAGCCATTAAACGATCATATGTAGGTTTGTCAATTTGAAAAATAGGTTTCTTCTTCGTCGGCCAAATTTTGACAACGTTGCATACTGAGTTAGGATTAAATATATCACTATTTACTTTAACAACATGTTCGAAAAGATCTTCTAACTCCTCTGAAGAGTATCTGTGATTGAGACCAACTAATTTTACCCTGGGATGAATGCCCTTAACTTTTTTGATAACGTAAGAATCTGAGAGTTTTTCTTGCGCGATTTTCTTAAAACGAGAATTGTCCTCAATCGAAGAGCAGCCAACCAAAATACCTCCATGTTTCACAGACTTAACTTTAGAAATGTGAAGATCAGAGTCAATAGGATTGACGGTGGAAGCTATATCAGATTTTGTTTTCTGAAAATCTTGATTAGTGTTTTTTGGCTCGATAATGACGGCAGGTTTGCTCTTATTTTTAACCATGTCCGAAAATTTAACAGGAGTTTTGGATGCACTGGATTCAGCTATACTACGTTTTTCAACATCTTTAAAAAGATCGACTTTTAAATTATTGAAAACGTCCTACATACTACCTACAAGTTAGTAGAATTCATCTTGAAGAAAAATATTTAAGCGCTCTGAATCTACACAGAAACATTTTCTGACACAGTCAGGGCACTTCCAGGATAATTTAGCGGCTAAATCGAAATATTTCTGCAAATCTTCAGGTAAGTCAACGCATTGATAATGAAAATGTTTATCGCAAATACCTGAACAAGACAGTGAGAAAGAGGATTGCTGTATATGTCCATGACAAACACCGCAAGCGAAAAGGATTTTTAAAGATGTAAAAAAAAAAGAAAACTTATGACACACAGTCTCACATGAGAGAAGTGAAAAAATCCGAAATATGTTGCTTAAATTAACTAAAAAATGCATAAAATAAAAAAAAACAATTCTTATCAAAATTATAAAAAACTAAAAAATGACTCACCCCTTCTACACTAATCAAAAGAGAAATGCACAAAACCAGTTAATTTGTAGACGACAAATCAAAACCTTCTTCATTGTCTAAATCTACTATACCACACTGATGAAAATGCCCTTAATGTCCTCTTAGACGCAATAGAAAATCCCTGAAAGCGCTGAATCACAATGTTAGTAGAAAATCAATTCAAACAATAATGAAAAAGGAAAAGTTTCACCCTTACAAAATCCATTTGATACAAGAACTGAACGAAGATGATTTTGATCGTAGAGTTGAATTTACCGAAATTATTATGAACAGAACACAACAAGACGGAAATTTTATCAACAGGATTTTGTTTTCTGACGAATCTACGTTTTGTTTAAATGGTCATGTGAACAGACACAACTGAGGTACTGGTCTGACACAAATCCATACTGGATGGAGGAAATCCACACACAGCGTCCAGAAAACTGAATGTTTGGTGCGGTATTATTGGTTACCATGTAATTGGTCCTTTTTTTTATTAATGGGAATTTAAATTCTGAGAGATACTTAAGGCTGTTGCGGGAACGTAGAGCGCCTAGACTTAGAGAATTGTTTCCCAATTACCAAAATCCGGAGTTGCTAACAGAAACTATTTGGTTTCAACAAGACGATGCCCCACACCATTTTGGACTTCAAGTGCGACAGTACTTAAACGAAACTTTTCCTGGCAGATGGATAGGCCGAAGGGCATTCGTCTAGAAATTCTCATTAACTTACTACAAAATTTTATCCAGCGTCTTTTTTACTACCAGGAAGTAAATTGAGAGCATTTTGAGCATCTTTTGTAGAAAACAGAAGTTTAATTTTGGTTTTGATTGTTATTGATTAATTTATTTATTGTTTAATATTAAAATTAATACTCCTAATTATTAATTTACTTAATTATTTTTTAATAATTTATTTTGCCACTTCAATTAGATAGAAAGTATGATTGTGCTTTATCAATGAATTCAGAAGAAAAATCTCTATTCAAAAATGCAATTAATTATATGGTAGTGCCATTTAGAAAAAAATAAGTTGACCTTGCATCCCGAAAACAAATGAAGCAAACATTTTTTTTTCATTTCATGTAATTTGTAAAATTGGTCCTCAAAATATTTAACCATTTCCATACATTCTAGCGACCCTGTATGTAGAAGAAGCATTAGTTGAAATCACTTAAATATTTAACCATTTCCATACATTCTAGCGACCCTGTATGTAGAAGAAGCATTAGTTGAAATCACTTAAATATTGCCTTGCATACATTTATCCTTAATATGTATATGGTAGCGACATGTAGTCTGGTTTACTAGAACTGGAGGTGGTGCGACAATTTTTGTGGGAAGCTTTAGTTGAAAGAAGTCCAATTTTGAATAATTTCGTACTATTGGCTCGCTGCCTTTGTATCAAACGCATACTTTTATGCGTTTTGACATGTAGGCAGTTTGATAAATATTTAATATTCGATATCCGAAATTTCCTAATTAAACCGTACGTATTGTCATCTTGTCAATAAGTTTTTTTTGTGTTCTAACAAATTGTAAGTAAAAATGAAAATTCAATGACCACTCTATTATTTTTATTTTTTTGGTTTTTTACTTACATTATTGCCTTCCCACGGTCCATGGTCACTAGAAAACGACATTTTCATCTCACTGAATCACTTGAACAATTTCACAAAGTCGATCACTCAGCCTTTCGACTAGTCTCCAAAAATTCCGGAACGTTATTGCTATTGTTGAATCCGGGCGGTTCGGGGGTGGCGACGACCGATTGGTGGTAGTTTAATTGGTGCGTCGACCAATAAGGGCGTTGCAATATGTTGCACAAAGGGGATGCGATTCTAGTCGTAATGGGGAGGGAATGTTAAGGTGGTGGCTAACGTTGGGGAGTATTGACGTTTGAGGGAATTCAATTTTTGTATTTGGTGCGATTTGTGAAAAATTGATATTTGAAGGAATTAATTTCGGTGAATACAAAGGTTTATTTTACTAATTTCGTGTAACTTCTTTAAATATGTCTGTTTAAGTAATTGTTAGACGACATTGTTGTAAACAAGATAAGTGGGCGAAACCATGTCTAACTATGAGGAAGCATTTAAATTAAGTCGTCTTTTGAAAACTCTTAAATATATTATGTCAAAAGTATTTTTCGATTTTGTTTGCTAATTTTACAAAATATGCAATACTAAGTATTAGACACAATCCGAGAATCAAAGTGTGCATTATAATGACACTCATATAAATCTTTCGAATTGTCTTTTTAGTGCCAACTTTCTATTCTTTGTTGGCAATTATTTTTAGTGGTCAAAATGCACAAAAAAAAAAAACTAAAACTGGGCGAGTTTCGGTTCAACGATTCATGTTATAAATAAATCTATTTTTCTGTAGTTAATATCGTGATAGTGCTGATGTTATCATATTTTTAAATTGCAGTCATATTTAACTGTCTATTTTTAAATATACAATAACAGTTCATTAACCATGAATATTTTAGATAATTATAGCAATCTTAAAATATGGATGGTACATAATTTCTTCAAATTTTAAATATTGTAATTTGTCATAGATTTTGTTAATATTAGAGGTATTTTTTTATTTTCAGTATTTTACGTTTCTTTTTCAGAAAATCTTTTTATGCATAAAAAGCAGAAGAGAAATTCAGAAAGAAGCAAACATTTGATATTTTGTCATTGTGATTGTATTTTTTTTTTTTAGAAACTACTAATATTTTCTATTGAAGATCGAAATTTGCTTCTTTTTTGCTGCAAATACGTCGTTTTGTTAGGCATTAAACATTATTATTATTGTCGTCCTCGAAATTGCAGCTTTTTTTCTCTTTATTTGATTCGATATTATGCGGTTAAGCCCTTTATTTTTGCTAATGTTTACGCTCCTTAGACATTTTTTTCTCTTCTCTTCTATTTTGTTTTTAAAGTTTATATTTATTAAGATCGGGCTTCGATGTTTTCTGCTGTTCTTATTTCAATAATTTTTTAGCCATTAAAAATAATTATTATCATTGTTAATGTCTTTGAAAAATTATTTTACAGCATATATGTTTTTTTATGTAGATGCTTTTGTTATTTTCTCATTTTATTCGATTAGACATTAGATGGTTGATCTCTTTATTTCTACTAATTCCTACCCTCACAAATTTACTTGTCTTCTGGTTTCTTCTATTTCAGTGCCATTTAGAATTTTACTTCTCTTTTTTAACGTTTGCCTTTTTTAATGACAAGTTTTGGAAAAACTTAGGGATTAAAATCATTTAAGATTTTCTTGTTGGTTAACAAACAAGTGATGTAGTGTTCTTTTTTGATAAACTTGGTCACACAGTAGGTTCAAAAGTCTTAAAAATTTTGTGTACAAAATATGTTCGCCCTTTTAAGTCAGTTTCTTTATCCGGTCAGTTGGGAACATCGTAATTGTTATTACTTATTACTATAGAGAATATAAATTGCGTGTAACCATAAGACTACAAAAATTGGTCCAAAGTTATTTAAACAGGACTTCCCTCGCACCTAAAGTCGAACATTCAAACAAATTAATGTCGTAAAAATGGAATTTGAACCACGTGAGCGGAGCTCAAGTTCATCAAAGCGGACTCACAAACCACAATTACATCAGTATGTTATTTCACAAAATGTAAACAGAAGTTATTATAAAATTAGTAAAAAAGCACGTCTCTTATTTAATCTACGGTTTGTGATGTAGTTTTATGAACAAAACAAAAAGAAAGAAAATGAAGTTTATCAAAGGTGATCAAAAAATAACTTAATTAATTACAGTGTATAATGGTAACGGCATGGTTAAATCCTTATTTATGACTGCCCCATCACCGGCAGTAGTAATCTATTGTTAAGGAAGTTAACTTTTACACAATGGGGTACTACCATAAAACTGAATTAGAACTATATCTGTTTATCAACCCCGAAAAATTGAGTAGGTCATCTCAAAATTTTGCCGATTAAATTCTATCTAAAATGTGCAAAATATGTTCAATCTATACTTGTATTTTATCATGCGTATTTTTTAGATTTGTTTATACAGGGTGACTCAAAAAAAATTATAAATCTGTCAATTTATTTTATTGAATAAATCAAGAATTGAAAAACTGAATGCTTTGAAATCTTACAGACGTTTTAAAGTCATTGTAAGCGTGGTAAATTGTTATTCAAAATATATCTGTTAATTGTCCCCAAAAAATTAATGACGTTATCTCAAAATTTTGCCGAATACATTATACGCAAAATGTACAAAATATGATGAGTTTTTACTTGTGATTCATCATTGCATTCATATTTTTTTATTGATCAAATTAAGAACGAGTCATCCCATTTTCCCGAAAAGATCAAAAAACAAACGTCTTTATTTCATAATAATTATAATAACGATATTCAGAACATTTTGTCGATTTTAGCTTACTACTTAATAGTTTTGATTCTCTGTTTTGAGGGGACGAACTCATTCAAATCAAACTAATTTCTGCGTGACATTCTTCCGATGTATAAACATAAACACTTTCAAGCTAAGGACGTACAGTAATGGAGTCCATCGGGCAATTCGGTACTTTCATATTTTCTCGATATTTCATAACCTCTAGTTAAGTCCGCAGCTAGGGGGAGGCTAGGGGAACCTGAGCTATAATTTTTCAAAAGAGCTAGATTTGTCAAACTGCACTTTATGGGCGAAGGAGTAATCTTCGACCAGTTTTTTCATTCTTCTTTTTAAAATTACGCTTGTTGGGTTAAATTCCAATAAATGTTTGATCCAATTTTATTTTTCTCATCAACTTGTTCTTCTGTTCTAGAAGTTGCTATTTTTTTTGTTACATGGTAATGCAATATGTGTGTTAACTGTGTTATTGTAAGTAGTACTTTTGGTCTAGAACAATTACAAACATATTAATTCTGCACCAGTTACGGTCATTGAAATTTTATGTAAACCATGCAAGTTTGAAACAATTATTACGTTAAACTGAATTTTAGAAAATTATACAACGGCACTTAAACATTCTTCTCATTTCTAATTTTTTATTGTATCATCTTTCAACTCTCTTGTTTTATTTTGGAACTTTAAGTAGAAGTGCTAAAGCTAAAACCAATATTTCATTTGATTCAAATGAGTTAAGTTTTATTTACGACTTTATTTATGACTTAGTAGTCATAAAATTCAAAATATTCTAGAAAAATCTACATTAAAATCTAATTGTTTTTAACGTATTTGAAAATGTAGATGCAGTATAGTTGTGTAGTAGTTTCTTTCACCCTGTATTTCTCGATCAGAAAAGCAGATTTAATATAATAATGAATTTGACAAATCTCAAGGGCTGAACATCATCAGGGAGGGTTGAACTTAATCGTATTACACGCTTAAAGACCCTTTAATTTGTATCATATGTCAAAACAGAAACAACTCCACCGTAGAAACCCACCCTTAATATCTTCATATACAAAAAATTAAACGACAAAAAACAAGAACAAATTTCGACTTCATTTCCATTTCTGGTGAGGGTGCAACATGCATATTTAAAGCGCTACAAGTCATATTTCTCGTCAGAACGTGAAATAACTGGGGTGGTTTCAGTTCATCCCTTATTGTTCGGGTTGCACGTGCATCAACGAGCGTGAAGAGCTAGGGGATAAGTTCTAATAACAGCTAAATATGCCCTATCCAAAACAAATCAGATTGACGACGGATTTATTAATCTGGAGCTTATTTGAAATTGTGACAAATTGCGTGATATAGCGAACAGAGAACGCAGAAAGGAGGAGGGTGTAACAGAAGGATATGTTATGATTTTTATAGAACTGGAATAATTTATGTAATTTTTTTAAACGTACTATTCGTTTTTTTCACACAACTACTGAAGGAAACGCCAGTCGCCACGTTTTCTGTGCATTTTCAGAATGTAATATCTCCATTATTTACAAACTTATGGTTGCGAAATTTTAATTATAAGCTGACCATGACTTTCATTATATGACTCAATGGTAGTTTTGCTAAAAACAGTTTGCGAGTATCCTTTTTTCTTAATTTTAGTGACATTTTTGCATAACGTATGTTAAAAAATTAATAGGTTTTCAGCACTGTTTTCAACTTACAAAACTCCATATTTCCAGAAATCTCACATCCAAAGAATGTTCTGTTGCAGTGGCGTTGCAAGTTGAAGGGTGTAGTGCAACTTATAGTTTAGGAAATTAAAATATACCTACCTTATACCTACAATTGTATTGCTAATAAGTAATAACGAAACCGACAGTACAATGGTAGGGAGTACTTCACACTAGGTCATCCGAATTTATCCAAGAACATTGAGCAAGTAGCTGTCTGCACAGGGTCGGATTTGCGCTATTCTTAAAATTTAAGAAAAAAGAAAAGACCGTGTGAATAATAAAGATTCATCTGAATCGAAATCGGACTGACATGTGTTTAAGTGTACTATTGCATTATGTATCGCACTGTGAGAGCAATACACACGTAACTTCAAAACAGCATGTTTTGAGTAATGATGATTTAAAATTCCCAAGTGTTTATATATTATTTGTGTCTTAAATACCAAAAGCTTCGAAATACATTATAGTCGTATATTGTCAATCTATTATTAACCGTGTTTTTATTCCTTTAGAATAGAACCTTCTACTCGTTATAGAAAACAAGAAATTTTGACTGACGTGACTATTGCACTGGTACACCATATCAAATATTTTGGCTTGCGTGTTAATAAATCTAAGACAAGAGCAAACTAGCAACACATTGTAATGAAAAAAATCTGACAAAATACAAAACGATCACAGTATTAATTCATTCCACATCTACTATGGCTAAATTGTTATAAAATGTGTTATAATTTTACGTAATTCGTTTTTTTATACATAATTGATTCAGTCCATCGTATTTTTTACGTATTGCTAAAGGATCTTCATAAATACTATTTACTAGTTGTCGTGATGTTCGGGAATTGATTGACTATTATTTCCTGATATAGGTACTTCCTTTCTATACGAAGTTACAAAATTCCATCGGAACTTTCCTACCTTTCCTATTCAAAGAAAAATTGATTTCCATGTTTTCGGTCAATTCTTATCTATATCAGAAGACATTGTGCATTTGTTGTGTTCAATTTGTACCTAAATTAGTAGGAGTATCAGATTATCAACATCGACTGAAATCTCATAGCTTCATAGCTTACGTGCATTTCACTTATTTTTGAGATACGGCAGTCTTGCATTAAGTGCACACGTAATTTTCCGAAATGCAATATAAACATTATGATGAATTTGAGCATTACGCAACTATTAAAAATCGTTTATACTTACATATACTAAAACTACATTAACTTTTTTATGCATTAAGAATTCGGCAAATTTTGACTTAGGTGAGTATTGCTCTCACAGTGCGGTATGTCCTTATTTGTAATGGATATCAGAAATAAAAATTCTGGATATTTTATTCGGACTACGTAACATAAAACTTAATCTCTTATAGATGCTATTCATTTTACACATAAAAATATGCTCATTGTCGTTGGTGAGCAAGAATGTTGCGAATATTCGCATCCGCATCCATCAATGCGGAACTCATGCGGATACGGATGTAAATGTGCTGCAAGTCGCGACAAGAAAGACATTTACCAATAAGGTGGCAAGAATTTTGCTTTCGATGTTGCGTTTCACACTCGTCAAGAGACAAGATCTGATCGTAGAGATGGGCAAAATCGTTCCACGCGTGGAGCGCTACAACCGCTACCGCTACAAGAAAATAGCGCTCCAAGTAACTAGTTACTTTGGAACGTATTGTTATGTTTGACTGGCGAATAATAAATCGGGCGTTGGTAAAACTCAAAGATTTATTTCTTTAGCTCGAATTGCAACACTATATATTGCCACGAATATGTACAGAAATTATTCCGGCGCTCTTGACTGTCTTCACTCGCTGAATAAATCCATTACCTACGGTCGCCTCTATTTAAACCCATATTCTCTGATCGAGATCTTTCACGAACATGCATCGCGACTCCGCTTTGAGACTCCCCTGGACGCTGCTTCGACACGGCTCGTCCCGATCAGAATCGTCTTCGTTGTTTCCTTCGTACCGTTTTAGTCGATCGAGATGAACGATCTTCATCTTCGTCTTCGGTCCACGTTGGATCCGATAAACTACGTCATTTATTCTAGTGACGATAGTGTATGGACCTTCCCAGTCAAGAGCCAGTTTTGGGCAACGTCCCTTCTTCCCTCGGGGGTTATACAGCCACACTAACTCACCTTCCTGGAATCCGCCACAGTTGGCCTTCACATCGTAACGGGTGTTCATTCGGTCACTGGCAATCTTGATCCGGCCCCTCACTAGTTCATGCACGTTGACCAACTTCTCTTTCAGTTCGTCCACGTAGTCACGTACTTCCATTGGTTCTTCGGATGGCAATCCAAAGACTAGGTCACAGGGCAGCCGCAATTCCTTCCTAAATACAACGTGAGCAGGTGTTTGACCCGTGGTGTCGTGGATAGCTGAGCGGCAGGCCAACAGGAATAGTGGAAGGTGCTGGTCCCAATCCCTTTAGTGCTCTTCTACCACTTTCGAAAGGTGTTGCTCCATAGTCCGATTGAACCTTTCCACCATGCCGTCGGACTGTGGGTGTAGTGGCGTTGTCCTTGTCTTGCGTATTCCCAGTAGCTGCATCACTCTTTGGAAGACGTTGGATTCGAAATTGCGTCCCTGGTCCGAGTGAAGTTCCAAGGGGACGCCAAATCTACTGATCCAATTGTCAACCGGTACTTTCGCGACCGTGACGGCTTCCTGATTTGCAATGGCATAGGCATCTGGCCACTTCCTGAAGTAGTCGCTAGCCACCAGGATAAACTTGTTGCCGTCGTTTGTTACAGGGAACGGACCGGCCACATCGATGGCGATTCTTTCGAAAGGTGCCCCAACATTATATTTCTTCATTTTTCCCCTCGCCCTGGTATGAGGACCCTGGCTGGCCGCGCACGTCGTACACTTGCGACACCAACTTTCGACGTCGTCACGATAGCCTACCCAATAAAACCTCTCCCAGATTTTCGACAAAGTCTTGTTCACTCCGAAGTGGGCTCCAGATGTTCCGGCATGAACTTCCTCTAAGACCTTGGCAACCTTTACCTTGGGGAGTACCAGCATCGTCTTAGAGGTACGCCCATCAGGACTCTCCCACTTTCGCTTCAAGAGCCCATTTTCCATGACCAAGGAATCCCATTGGGTCCATAACGCCTTCAAACTGGGGATTGGTGGGACAATTCTGCCCAGCCGGGTCGTTCGACTCCTTCCTCCTTCCATTTTAGTATTGGCCCGATGATGTCGTCTACTTCTTGTTCACGCTTTAACCGCGCCGTTGTCCATTCTGCATCTTGCTCAAAAATCGTTCGACGACGGGCAAATTCCCTTCTTCCGCGTCGATCCTGTCGCAGTGCTTGCACTCTCCGCACGGACGTCTTGACAAAGCGTCAGCGTTGTTGTGAAGTCGACTCGCTCGGTGTTTGATCCTAAAGTGGTACTGCTGTAGTCTTTCCAGCCAACGCGCTACTTGGCCCTCGGGATTCTTTATCCGCAGTAGCCACGAGAGGGCAGCGTGGTCGGTCCTGATCAGAAACTCCTGTCCGTATAGATACTTGTGGAAGTGGTTGACGGCTTTGACAATGGCAGTTCCTTTCTTGTGGTACAGTAATTTCTCTCTGGTTTGGAATGTAATTTGCTAAAATATTCGATAACCCTTTCCTCCCCATCTTGTACGACAATACGGCCCCAACTCCCGAGTTACTCGCATCGGTATCGAGGATGAACATTCCTTTGTCCCTGGGGTAAGCCAAAATGGGGCTGGTGCACAAAGCCGTCTTCAGTCTCTTAAAGGCCATCCCACATGTACTGCTCCACTTGAAAGTCGCCTTCTGCTCCGTCAGTTGGTCTAACGGTGCTGCGATGTCGGCATACCCTTCTACAAATCGTCGGTAATATGTGCAGAGTCCCAAGAAGCTTCGTAGTTCATGCTTGTCTCTTGGTATAGGTCAATTCCGGATAGCAAGAACTTTCGTTGGTTTCTATTCCTTTCTCCGACACGATATGGCCCAGGAATTCGACTCTTTTCTGGAAGAGCGAGCATTTCTTGGGATGTAGTTTCAAACGAGCGTTTTCCATTGGTTCTAGCACCCCTTCGAGATTCTTCAGATGATCGTCAAACGTTTTGCCCATATTCATGACGTCGTCGAGGTATACCAGACAGGTCTTCCATGTCAATCCTTTCAGCACCATCTCCATCAGCCGCTCGAATGTTGCTGGCGCATTACATAATCCGAAGGGCATAACGGTGAAGTGATAGAGGCCACTTCCGGTGGAGAACGCAGTCTTTTCTTTGTCGTCCGGGTGCAAGCCTACTTGCCAGTAGCCACTCTTCAAGTCCAAGGTCGAAAACCACGCCGAGCCGGATAAGGTCGTCAAGGTATCGTCTATTCGAGGAAGGGGGTAACTGTCTTTCTTCGTCACGTCGTTCAGTTTCCTGTAATCGACGCAAAATCGGGTAGTCCCGTCCTTCTTGGTAACCAAGACTACTGGAGATGACCACGCGCTGTTGGATTCTTCAATTGCCCCATCTCTCAACATGTTATCCACGAGTCTTGTAGCTTCTTCTTGTTTGACTAGGGGTAGCCTGACGGATCGGTTGCGTGTCACCATTGTTTATTCGGTGTTCTACGATGTTGGTCTTCCCGAATGGTTCCTCCTCTGTGGCGAAGACATTACGGTGCCTACGAATGAGTCCTTTGACCAGTTTTCTCTCACGAACAGACAGCTGGTCCCACTTGACCCCCAAGCCTTTGGTATACCCTTCCTTAGACTCATTCTCAACGTCTTCTTCCTCGCAGTTCAACACTCGGGCGACTGGCTCACACATTCCAATAATCTCCCCTTGTCTAATATTGACTGCATTGGGAAACACGTTTGCTACACGTAAGGGTATGCCACGGTCGGTTTTGACTAGGGTGCTCACGATCAGGAGCTTGTGGATCGAGTCACTTGCCGGCTGCACCATCCCCAAACTGTATCCGGGGTTCGTCTCTACTCTGGCGGGAACGATGACTTCTGCATTACCATCTAAGTCCATACCCAGAATGAAATCGTCTGCGATTTCCGCCACCAGAACTTCATGCCTTATTCGGAGTCGACCGAGCTCTACATTCACCACCGCTGTACCCAGAACCGGTATTGTTTCTCCCGTGACCGTCTTTACATTCGTGGCGGTACATACTGATTTAATCTGGGAATTTTGTAACCTGGATCTGCGTGCAAGGGACCCTTCGGCTCCTGTGTCGATGATGATCTTCGATTCCCGTCCATTGATTTTTCCGCTGATTGTCGGACTGTCGACGCTCCCCGCGATACTTCTAACCATTATAGTCGTTGGGGCTTCTTTTTTAGCAGCCAGTACGCGCCCCGAGTTACCGACTGCCTTTAGTTTTCCTGCTCCTGATGTAGAGGAGGTCGCGGCTGCGATCTCCTCATCGGCGCTGGCGATCTAACACGGCAATCCCTCCTAATATGTCCTTGAGGCCCACACCTGTAACATTCTAGGCGCCCTCCATGTTGTCTCGAACTGCCCGTCTTGATTTCGGCAATTATTTCGCGGACGAGTTTCTCAAAGTTCTCGCTCATTTTGTCGAAACTCTCTTGAATAGGGTTTACTTCGCCATCAACTCCGATACCTCGTATCTTAACGTTGGAACGAGGTGAGCTGTTGTATGCGGCGTCCACTTCTAACGCTCGAATCAGTGCCTCGGATGGTTTCTTGAACCCGGAGATCTGCAGGACTCTTCTTACGTCACTATCTCTTACCCCGTTCACGAAGGTTTCTGCTACCAGTCTGTCTTGAAAGTCTTGCGGAGCTTCAGAATAGGCGAGGTGTACCAAACGTTTAACATGTGCCGCAAACTCCTGAAGAGATTCACTACTCTTCTGAATCCTAGATTTAAGCTGCGCTCCGAAAACTTGCCAGAGGTGTTCATCTCCAAATCTGAGTTCGAGGGCGGTCGTCAAGGCGGTATAGTCCTTCTGGTTCTCTTCTGATAATGTCTGTAGAATCTCCAGGGCCGCACCTCGTAGTGCTACTACCAAAGCCGTCGCTTTCTGTTGGTCATTCCAGCTATTCCACAAGGCCGCAGCTTCAAATTGCTTCTTATAAGTAGTCCACGACGTCTGCCCATCGAAAATAGAGGGTTGAACTCTCACCTGACTGAATTCTGCAGGGGTCGTAATTGTAGGTCGTGGTGTTTGCAACCTTTCTTCGAGCTCCTTGATCTTGTTTTCCATTTCATTTCTCACCTCGTCCACTTCATTTCGCACGACTTGGAGGATTTCACTTCGGCTGTTCAAAACTGTAGTTTGCATAGCTTTTAGATTTCCTTCCATTATTCTTCGATCTTCTTTTCTACTTTCTTCCATTATTCTTTGATTTTCTTCCATTATTCTTCGATCTTCTTTTCTATTTTCTTCCATTATTCTTCGATCTTCTTTTCTACTTTCTTCCATTATTCTTCGATTTTCTTCCATTATTCTTCGATCTTCTTTTCTACTTTCTTCCATTATTCTTTGATTTTCGCTCAACATTTTCATCATTTTTGTCAGTTGTTCCTCCATGTTGACTGTTTGCGCTCTTGTGGTGGTCGGCATAAAATTTTCTTCTAGAAACTTCTAGAGTCTTGACGGACGTCTATTCTCGAAGCCAATGTCAGGTGATGAAAGTCTAATTCGGTTATTCCACTCTTACCGCGGGAGAGAATTTTCTCGAAAGTTCACTTTGTTCCGGTCTCCCCTAGTAGCACCAACCGAATTCGAATCCCGATTTATGTCACAATTGATCCCACTTCCGACACCAGTGTTACGTTTGACGGGCGAATAATAAATCGAGCGTTGGTAAAACTCAAAGATTTATTTCTTTAGCTCGAATTACAACACTATCTATTGCCACGAATATGTACAGAAATTATTCCGGCGCTCTTGACTGTCTTCACTGGCTGAATGAATCCATTACCTACGGTCGCCTCTATTTTCTCTCTGATCGAGATCTTTCACGAACATCCATCGCGACTCCGCTTCGAGACTCCCCTGGACGCTGCTTCGAGACGGCTCCAGACCTGTCTTTATGCGCCCGCCTCTCGGCCGTCGACATCGTCAGCAGTGATGATTCACCCATCAGCGCCGGCGCCGTGCGTACGTCCAGAAAGCTCTCGACGGCCATAGGCGTCGTACTGGGGCGGCGTAAGGGTGTATTTCGTAACAGTATTCATCACGAGTGGCGTATGAGTACGACGCTTCCACTTGTCCGCTTCATTGCAACTTGGAACAAATATCTCGAGTACCAATATGTAGCGAACGGACATTCTGGACACAATAAATATTGAGAACAACAATTAGGACGGGCACTCTACTTTCATTTTAATAAAAAAAAATAATAAGAAAATAAACAAAACTACAAATATTTTTAGTATTGTTTTCGCAACTTTCTGTGTTAATTCCCAATCTTGCAAGCTTTTCTACTGGACTGAGATTTTACATTTTTTTTCGGTTGCTATTGAAATCAGAGACTTTAAATACATAGACTGGCTGTCAGGGGCGGCTGGTCAGGGGCGGCAGGGTCGGCCACGCCGTACCAGTCATTTTAAAATACTTAGTAAGCTTTGAAATTAGAAAATAAAAAAAGAAATAAAGTTTGAATGTACGTTAGGATAGATCATATATATTAAAAATATATTTTATTATATTGTAGGTACAAAATAAAGCATTTGTTGCTAATTTTAAATGCTGATAAACACGCTTTGCCGGCGAGATTTCGGCAAGCCGTATCCAGGAATGCATTATACTCGATGTTTCGACTTCGTAGCAGCTTACGGTTTCATTGTTCTCTTTGTCTAGTACACTGTAGTAGACAAAGACCTGGCGGAACGTATGTTGTGCCAGGTCCGGCGAAATCCTCCTTCGCCGTACCCAGCAACGCGAATTTAGTTTTTAAAACGCTTAATATTTAAGATAGCTAACCAAATTACAAAACAATAACGGCTTCGATGTTCTTCAGTGCATACTATTTTTTTTAATAATAATTGTCGATTTAATACATTTTTCTGTGTATGAATAATAAACGAAAAAAATTACATTAAATTATCTAAAATTTTATTTTTCGTACATAACTTAGCTACAACATAAATGCGCTTTTTCTGTATTTTTAGCATCTAAGCGTTTTCAGATATTTCAGAAACGAATTTAAAGTTTTAAATCATTTTAATTTTTCAATTATTCAATTAATTTATTTGACAATTTGTCATATACATTAAAAAAAAATAAATGTAAATGAAGATAGTTAACAGTTGGTACTTTTATTATTACTTTTTTTATATTTTTTAACTGCATGTCATTATTTAATTATTATTATTTAATTGTGGATGTCCGGGGTCGGCAAGCCGTATAGCCGCCGGTCGACGCGGAACTCAGTAAAAATAATGTTTTCGGTGGTTCTCAATTAATGATAAAGCAGAACAAGTAGAATTAAGGATTAATAGTATTTGGAATCAAACTGACATTGTCAATTTCCTATAAAAAATTATTTTAACAGGTCGAAACATTTGAGATGTTTTGTACATCCTGGCACGTAAAATGTCAGTGGTTAATGAGTAGCAGCCATACATTACGAAAATATATAACACCAAGGTGTAGACTCAAAATATTTGGCCGACCCGAAATTTTGACCCACCAGCCGCCACTGCTGGCTGTTAGTAACATTTCTAATGCATTTTGGTGAAGCCACGGCGCATGGTAGTATGGACGCCATTGCTATAACTTTTATGACAAATTAAGTGAGGTTGTGGTGGTTAGCAGCAGTAGTTTCTAGCACAGAACGTTTCTAGACCTCGAAATAAAACTGGTTGTGTGTCGGGACTTACGAGATTGTTTGTAAATATGGCCATTAAAAATGATTTGGTAACTAAAATGTTTGCCTTAACTTTGCGAAGTAGGACCATACATTTTTTTTCTACATAATGAACATTGTTTAGTATGGATTAGTTGGACGTAAATAATTCTTATTTTAAATTATTGCTTAAATTAATTTTGAGAAATTATTTGACTCTCGGAATAGGTTATGAGTGCCGCTTAAGTACTGAGCGTGAAAAAGCTATCTCTTTAAGACAAAAATTCACGAAATTAATTTTGTTTCAAGGACATTAATATTTTTAAAGGAATTTACATATACATATAGATAGTCTTATGCTAAATAAATAATTACAATTTGTTGTCTTTTTTATTTAACATTTTAAATTGCATTTTGTGACCGGAAAATTAAAATTTCGCGCACTTACGGTTATAAGCAATATGGCGATCGAAAAACTTCACGTTTTTCCTGACACAGCCAGTCTATGTATTAAAGTCTCTGATTGAAATACATGTATTCAATTAAAATGTATTTATAAACTATTTTATAAATAAGCTTTTATATCTTTTCTGATACTGAGTCATTTATATCGACCGTCGCATTTTTACAAAAAATTACCGCCCTCAAACAAAATGCAACACTTGCTGATTTTGCCGATTGCTTTATGATAAAACCGCTTTGCTTTTTATTTTATCTGTTTATTTATATTGTTGTGATAACCCAAACTTCCCGCCTTAAAAATTTGACCTTGAAACAGTTTGAAAGGCCCGCGAAAAATTCAAAAATTCAAAGTTTGGCCTTGGCTGTGATCGTCTAATAAATGAGAACCTACGTTGTGTGTTTTTTTTTTGTGGTTTTGAAAAATGACGGGAAGTCGTTCTTTCATACAAGTGCATACACTGTCGAGAGCGCCAGAAATAATAGACAAAATTAGGTTGGTCAAAAGCCTTCCTAAGGGGGAAAAAGAAACGAAGAACGACGACAGAGGCTCAAATTGCCCTTCTGGCGAGTCCGCAGGGCCAAGGTGTCATCGGTCTTCATTCCCCAAAACCCCCTGGGGTTTTATTCACCGACATATTACATGTCAAACACCTTAAGATATATGAACGAAAAACACTCGCGAATTGACAGACATACACATATGAAAACCGAACAAACACAAGACTTACACATATGTAAATTGGATGGCAGAACCCGAATCATTATGAGAGTGTGGCGATCGAACAAAATATATTACAAAATATCAAATTCATTTACGAGCACAGAAAATACCCAGAGGGGGCGTTGTAGCGCAAGTAGAGGTTGGGACTCCTGATCGTCACTGTTCTCCCCCACGACGGTGATTCTATCTACACCAAAGCCTGCTCACACGCACATCTCCATTACGAACGTGCCCTGCGAAACGAGGCGGTTACGATCGCAGATCCGTAGTTGGGTCTCGACTATTGGGCCAAGTCGACAGCGTTAAGAACCCGCGATCGCCCCCTGAAGCTATACAAAACCCGCGGACTTGTGCAGGTGACGCGATTAATCCCGTCAGTTTGAGAAGGAGTCGCGCGCCCCACGTACACTACGAGTTATGTGTTATTTACTACAATTTCATTTAAATGTTCAAACTCTATGACTCTAATATGAAATTACAACCGAACAAGTGTTAAAGTTTCAACAAAGAGCAATCCACAACATTTAAATTCGCCACACACTCTTACGAAAATTCAACAACAAATAATTCTTAATTGAGATCAAATTTGGACATCAGATAATTTACATGGTAGAAATATTCATCAACAAAACATTTACAAGATCAAAACTTAGCAAAGATTTATAAAACAAAGATCCGGTGTGAAATAAACTTGTGCAAATAAAATATCATGTTAAGTCAAAATTGCAGAGCATGGAAATTTACGTTCAATTCAAATTATACAACAAGGAAAATTACTGAGGCTAAAATTGTGAGATAAAGAAAAATTGCATGAGGTGAAACATTGCAGAGTCAAACAAATTTACATGAGATTAGCAATAATTCGTGTCCAGTCAAGTTATTGGTTAAAATTCAAAACGTGAAATTATTCAGCTACATTGTGGGCCATTATTACACATACATTTCCCCAAACAAAACACATAAACAAAAACATGGCAGACAATCTGCAGGTCCAAAATGGCGTTGGACGAATTCGTCATTCCAAATAATAGGCGTCGAAAATATGCGATGCAAATATGCGATGAATCCTGTGGCGTTGTGTAAACGATGGGCTAAATAAAAGGAATAAAAGGCACGTCCCCCCATTACCCACAATGTTTGTTAATTTGTTCAATAGATTCAACAGTTAAAACATGTGCTCGGTTAAAAAAACAAAATGGGCGCCTCAAAATGGCTGCTGCCTGAACAAAGAACAGTGAAAATAACAACTCGTCTGCCGCCATCCAAAATACAGATTTCACAAATATAGCTAAATAAAGCATGGCCCGAACTAAAAATCACTTCCTGTAAAGCCCTACTGCGATGGATTTTAAATGAAAGAAAAAAAACGAGATTAGTGAAAAAAAAGCGCACGCGTCGATGAGTCACAAGGTCAGAAGCACCGTCGGGACTTGAAACTCGCCGCGAAACAGGATCCAGTCGAAAACATGTGTTCAAAACATACCTCTCCAAAGATGCGAAGATTTCGACACGGCTTACCGCCAAAAAGGAACACAAAAACCTCGTCGTAAGAACGATGAGAAATCAGGAACACCCAATGGCTCAACGGGGGCTGCTAGGTTTTCCAATGGAACGGATCGACACTGGAAAATAAAAAGACAACAGCAAAGGCACAGAATAACTCACAATTAAAAATACGACCTGTTGCTCCAAGCGGTTGAAAGGAAGTGGTGTGATCTCTCGAAGCGGTCAAACGGAAGTCGACCGTTTGTTCGAAGCGGTCAGAGGGAAGTGGGTGATTTCAAAGCGGATAGTTACCACCCTCGCTTTTTTTGCGCATGTCTGTTTCTTTGGGGTGGTTGGTTGCCAACCTCTTCTTCTTCTTACCAACCATTTCTTGTGCGCGCGAAATTCATTTGAAATTTAAAAATTCGAATTGGATCCTTACATTGTTAAACTTTACTTTTGATCTGCGTTGCATACATTTTGTTTTTCTTTTTTTTTCATAAATATTATAAAATAAATATGTACCTACTTATAAACGTTTCCTGATATCTTTTTTGTCTTGATAAACACACAATTATTTTAATGAGAGAAAGATTATTCTCTTTTTTTTTCAGTTCCCAAGCCCCTCACTATTTGCGTTTCTTGTAACGTTCCGGACAAACGTGTTTTATGATTTCGTTCCTTGAATTTCCGTCCCGTAACTCCCGTACAAATATCGTTTCAAGTTCCAAGTGGAACGCAGAGTGGAACGTGTTACTTTTGTCGCAAGGAGCGCTACAGTCCGCTACTTGATGGTAGCGCTACAGTGGAACGGTTCCTACAGTTTTACCAGGTTTTACGACCCATCTCTACTGATACGTCACAACGTGTTTAGTCTGGGTTGCGTGAAGTGTGAACGTTTTGTTTTTTATGTTATTGAACAAGTGAAGCTACAATGGCACCACCGACGCGAAGTGAGATTTGGACTTATTTTAAACCAGATGATGATCGAAATAAAGCTCAGTGTATAATATGTAACAAAAAATATTCTCGCAAGGGCCGTACCACTTCGTCTTTGAAAAATCATCTGAAATCCATGCACCCAGAACAGTTTAGTTTGTTCGAAAGTTCGAGTAACGAAAAACAAATGCAGAAGATGAAAGCTGAAGCACGTAAGTTTTATTATCAACAATGTTTATTTATTAGCCTTAATAAAGCATTTTTCTTTTATTAATTATTTAAAAGTATCTATATTATTCTTAATAGATTCTCAGATAAGCTGTTTTAAGAAATTAATTCAGTTCATATATTTTGTATTTAATACAAAAAAAGTCGATCCGATAAAAGTTTCATTTTAAGGCCATTTTTCATCCGTTTGTTTTTGTTAATTTCCATAAGAAGCTATAATTTGTGTGTATTTATTTTTAGATAAAATCGTCACTCCACTACAAGAAACAAAGAAACAACTTTCGATAGAGGAAGCAGTTCAAAAAGAAAAAAAGTGGGATACTAACAATTCAAATTCGAAAAAAATTGACGAACTCATCGGAGAAATGATTGCACTTCAAAATTTACCGTTTAATTTTGTAGAGGGACTCGGTTTTCGCAGACTGATACAAGAATTATCACCAAGATATAATTTAAGAGGGCGCAATTTTTTTACTGATTTTGTGTGCACGGAATTGTATGGCAAAGTTGCTAACAAAGTTAAAGAATTGATCGAAAAATTTGATTACATGGCGTTTACTTCTGATATTTGGTCGGGTCCAAGCTCTAATGCATCTTTGCTTTGTCTGACTTGTCATGGAATCTCTGAAAACTTTGATCGATCATCAATTATATTGAAATGTGAGACATTCGACGACCATCACACAGGTGACATAATTGCTGAAAAATTTGACATGATGCTTACTGAATGGAATATTTCAAAAGAACAAGTGCATTGCATTATTCGAGACGAAGACTCCAATATGAAAAGAACTAAGCGATTAGCAGTATTCAATGATTTGGATTGTACAGTTCACAAGATGCAACTCGCTATTCGAAGTTGTTTACAATCGCAGGAAAACATAACAGTCGCCATACAAAAATGTAAGAAAATTTCGACTCATTTTAACCATTCCATCATTGCTCAAAAACAACTGCAAAAAATTCAGGACAGACTGAATCAACCGCATCTCAGAGTGTTCCAAGATTGTGCAACGCGATGGAACAGTACGTTTTACATGTTTGAGCGTTTTTTAAAGGTAAAAGATGCATTAAGACTTTACATTAATGACAGTGAAATTGACCCTATTTCGCCAGAAGAGTGGAAAATTATTGAATGTTGTGTTGAGCTATTGAAACCTTTTGAAGAAGCCACACGGGAACTAAGTAACTCTCATACACTTATATCATCTGTGATTCCAATAATTAAAATGCTTGCAAAAAAACTTGATGACTATTTAACAAGATCAAAGGATTCTGATTCAATTCGGGTGGCTGTCACGACTCTGAAAACTGAAGTTTCAGCAAAATTTTCTACTTTGTTGGAAGAGAACAATTTATATGTCATAGCCACCTACTTAGACCCTCGCTATAAGCACAAGTTTTTTACACCAGTGATCGAGAAAAAGATTAAAGACGATATTTTGAAGATCAGGACAATCATTGAGAATGATGTCTCGAACTCTCGAATAATATCTCCAAATCTCAAAGGAACGAAAAAATTGAGAACGGGAGATTCCCTCGTGAAAGATACGGAAGAACCTGAAACGTCCGGTACAGCCAGAAAGCCATGCTTAAAAAGCGATCTCGCCATGATGCTAGATTCGTCAATTGAAGATGAGAGTCAAGAAATATCAGAAAATGGTTGCCCTGACGCTGCCCTCAAGAAGGAATTGCTCTCTTATCGTAATAAAACAAGGGTCAATACAAGTGAAAATCCACTTAAATGGTGGAGCGTTAATAGTAACGAGTTAAAAATTTTATCTGGAATAGCACGCAGATTTTTATCGCCTCCACCAGCTAGTGTTCCTAGTGAACAGTTATTTAGTAGCGCAGGATTCATTGATGAACCTCTGCGAAACATACTCGAACCTGAAAAGGCCGCAATATTACGTTTTATTAAATATAATTCAACAATTTTGGATACACGTCGGCCTTAAATAATTTTGCTGCTTTCGTCAATTTTCACCAGCATAACATTATAGAAAATATTTATTGTGACATTTTGGATCTAGTTTTTGCTAATATCCCTTAAAATGTAAGCAGATCTGATAATTCAATTATAAGTCGACGGATTCGATTACAATACTTTCTTGCTTACACTCGGGAAGTAAAAATAAACAAAATAAAATAAAATTTTGCGAAGCAGTGTATTAATTATCTTAGTCACCAAGTCATCCTGACAAATAACGGGTTGCTGATGCCTGATATAGCATCCAGAAAAATCTCGAAGCGGCGTTCGCGATTCATCGACAGGAATGGATGGCCACCGTCGGGAACGGTTATTATTCAGTCGATGCAGCCAACGAGTCGAGTCCAGTGAATGTTGCGCCGGAATTTTTGTACATAATCGCTGCATAATTAGTTGTGTAGATCTAGTTAAGAAAAAATAAATTGTTGAGTTTTACCCACGCCGATTTTATTCACCGATCAACGTAACAATACTTAACGTTTTTGTTAAAAATGAAGACATTTCTATGGTTTAGTTGAAAGTGTGTGTGTTTTTTTGGTCAATGGTTTGCTCTTTTGGCAATATTTTTACTACTACATAAACTAAAATAATAATAGTAAAAATAAATTAATACTTACCTTCAAGACCTCTTTTAGATTGAAATACATATGTCGATCTTTAAAAGTAATCAATTTAAAAAGTTTGAAAAGGTAGGTATTTTAAACGAACATTTCAAAGAAAATGATAATGTGGACAAGCTTTTGCTGAAAAAACAGCAAAATGTTCAACAAACAGCAGAAATGTTTAACACTTCATTTAAAATTATTAAAAATATAACGGACAAATTTCATTTAATAAAAATTGAAGCAGAAGACTTGACTAGAGAATGGAGAAATAGCACTGAATACGCAACTTTCATGTTTTCTCGACATTTCTTAACCCTAAAGAAGGAAAAAATAAATTTCCCTTTTACGTCCGTGTAATTTTTATTCGACAGATAGGTACTCTTAGAAATTACGAGCGACTTGTGAAATTTTGTGTGTAAATTGTATGTTAGAAATATCATGTAGTAGTAAAACGCTAATCAAATTTTTTCTGATCATCTCCACCAATAATAAACATAACTTAAATTTCATGAAATATAAAAATAATAAAAAATATAATTGTTATTGTTTAAACCTTCTCATTCTTTAGTCGCATATAGTATGTAACCACGCAAACCAACCTGATGGTCCTGTTCGAGCCGCAACGTTTCCATTTAATTTTTAGTCGATTCAAAAATAGTTTACCTTAAATTTCATTTTCTTTTAACACAAAAATTGCATGCGGCCGCTGATGCTTAGTTTTTAACCCTGGGAATGTACGAATCGTCTAATTCCATCGAAGTATGAACATAAACACTTGAAGTTAAGCATATTGTTACTAAAAGTACATTTTTCCAGTTGGTTATCTGTTTTAAATATATTTTATATGTATTGTCCGCGCTTGTGCTGACTGCCCCCTTTGGGATTTGGGCCCCGCAACGCAGGGGCGATATTTAATTAAGCCACTGATTTCTACTCTATATAGGTTATCACAAAACAATTAAAAATCGCAAAATCAGTTTTTTTCATTTTTCAAAAAAGCGGGATTTGTTGGATTGTTTTCAGGCGCGATGGAAGTTTTGTCTAAATAAATTTCGATCAAGAAAATGTTAATATCCTCCGTAAAGATTTAAAAACACTTCTTGTTTCATTATGTACCAACACGTCTCTTCGTCCAGTGTATCATTTATGGCCTTATAGATCCATTTTACAATCCGAAAATGTTGTTAATTTTGTGCAAAGATTAAAAATGATACATTTTACGATTTATTTTAGAGACAACAACTAATCATTCTGAAATTCTACACATACTTTGGAGATCGCCAAAAATTTATCAGTCCTCACCAAAATTTTAATTACGTGAGCTCATTACATAGGAATGTCGAGATATTGTCTACTAAATAAAATCCTCAACAGTAGAAATTGTACACAGACTCAAAATTAATTATTTTATTTTCCACCTAAAAATACCGTTTGACAAGTGAAAAAATTAAAAAAAAAATTTAATCCATCCGCGTCTTCAAATTCTTGACCGTGACTTTATCTTTCTCACTGTAAAAAAAAATGGTAAAAACTAGTTTGTATAATATATGCTTAACTCACATGACATATACCACAGCCCCCCAACCAGAAATTGCATCTCTATCAAACGCATTAATCAGCGCCTGTGAAGTGGTCTCAAACAACTCATCAGGCCCCAAATTGGGCTCCCACAAAGCCTCACACATTCCGAACAACTGTGCACTTGCTGTACCTCCCACGACAAAGTCATTGGGTTGATTAGGACACCCAATCAAATCCATGTTACAAATGAAAGGTTCATGTGTAGTTGGCTCCAAGCCGGCAACGATAGGCTCCACGAAAAATGGTCCAAACCGATTTTCATAGAGCATATTTGACAGCATCGCACTGAAAACTTTCGGCGACATGAGACGGTTTTCTTTAAGTTCATATAGGTTTTTTCTAAACCGGAGTTTTTCCATGACGGTTTGTGTGTCGGTGGCCAGGCCCGGCAGGCCCACGTATAGATGTGGCCCCATCTCAAAGATTTTCTGGAAGTTGGTGGCGATAGTTTGGGCTTGGATACCGAAACGTTTATCAGAGGCTATCGAGACGCACTTGTCGCCCTTCATGGCAACCATGGCGCCGCCGTTGTATGCCAAAATCGACTGGAAAAAGTAAAAATGTAAGAAGTGAAAAAGCAGAGTCATTTGACATAACCTCAAAGTGGCAGTAAATATAAACACTTCAGTGCATTGAGTTATTAATTAAATTAAACATTTACTTACCATTTTGTATTTTTGTAAAAACTCTGTAGGGTGTTGTTTTAATTTAATATTTTTTAGATGTAAATGAGAATAAGATGAGATAAATTTGAATTACATTAGTTTACTTAACACGGTGCTCAACACTGCGAAATTTAAAATGTCACTGTCATCTCAAAATTCTCAGACTACTGTCATTTGTCATTACAGCTATATCGGTAATGTCGCAACCTGTGTACCGCTGTTTTTCCGGGTGTTTAAAAATGATTTGTGTGGAGACTTTATAAGTGTTTTGTGGAGAAAACTATATGTGAGGAAAGTTCTTACGTGTACTTTCGACATTTTCACCAAATTACGTTGAAGTCTTGAACTTTAAAATTAGCACCGTCGAAACGGTCAAAATGACAATACTTTTTAACAAAACAAATGCATCAAAATGCATGCATGTTGATCAGAGGTACCAATCGCCAAACTTATTAGATACTCAAATAACTATTTGCGTAAGTGATCTAAATTTTATAGATAAGTAGATAGGAAAGAATGGGCCAATATTATGGCCACCTTGTTCCCCCGACCTCAGTATACACTGTGCCTCAATCCTGGTGATTTCTTTCTGTGGGGTTACTGTGACATGAAACTGTTAATAATCTACCAAACTCCTATCAATAGTGTTGATTGTTGAAGAACTGACAAACCGAATTGAAGATGTTTCTGCACAGATTAGAGCAGATCCAGATCACGGTTGTAGAATAGATAGGTTTGTACACTAATGGCTTGGGATGGCGACGCTTCTTTTCGATCCCTATATCCATGGAAAGGACACATACAGCTAGCGCCTCTACCTTGTCGAGCGGAAATCATTCTAGTTATTTTGGGGATTTTCGTTTACATTGCTTTATGAACAATACAAAATTTGTAAATGACATTTGATCGGAGTCGATAAATACGATTTCTTTTATTAATTACATCGGTTATAGACAGATGCCTATAGAGTTCTGTGTCCCTAAAACGTCAAAAACCAGGCGACGCGATCGGCAATTGGCGTCGCTGGCCAGGGATATGCAAATGTATGCTAGTGTATCAACCTATCTATTCTACAACCGTGATCCAGATATAGGTAATACCACAGTATGTAATTCACAGAACACAAGCATCTTCAAAAACTGATTCTCAGACAGTTTTATTATTTACTGCTTCATTTAAAAAATCATTTGAGAAAATTCACAGAGATAGTTACTTTTTTGGTTACTTACTTAGTAAAACTTATCAGAAATTCTGAACGGAGTTGGCAATTAATGGGTGTCATGAGGGTTTTGAGACAAATTTTAAAACAAAATATTGTATCAAGAATAGAATGCGTTCCTGGAATGAAGACACAAATTCCAAATATGAAGATATTGCGTGTCTGTTAATTGGCAAGTCTGGTTTACGACTGGAAAAATCATTCCTAAAGCAACGTATTAGTATTGCCAGCCAAAGGGGGAATGCAGCAAGCGTTTTTGGAGAGAGTGCCACAGTCTTCTAAGGTGGTAAATGAGGTACTTAACTTTTTAAGCAAATACAAGGCAACCTTTAATTGACAGAGGTCTGTTATCTTCAATGACACCCCATTTTGTCCTAATATATTGCATTATTTAGGTTTTGAACTGTGTTCAGATCAATGAATCTTGCGCATCCTGGGAATTATTCTTTGGAGATTAGCATCTTTTTTAGCTTATCACCCTTTAGCGAACACTTTTCTACTCAACAAACTCCAAAATTTTTCAATTTGTCGCTACTGACGGACTGACGCATAGAATATATCTGAGGTAGTGTCTTCTGCTAGTACAAATGGTATTTTTCACCTCCAACCGAGTCTGTTCAGTTCCAGTTGATTCTTGTACAACGCAAAATTATTTCGTTACTCCCACTGCTTTAATAAAATTTTACAGTTTTGTTAATACTTTTCTGTGTACGTTGTTATCTACAGATTCACCTCTGACATGCTCTGCGTCACTTTAGCCTCGGAAATGGTACACTACCAATTAAATAAATAAATCCTATTATTGATATTGTTACGAAAGAAACCCATACACCGCCCCGGTACGACGCCTATGGGTTCTAGTATGTACTATCACGGTCAAAAAAATTCAAATACCTAACCTGTTCATGTCATCGAGTTTTATTTAATTTCTCAATTGTATTTGTGAAATTTATTTTGTGTGGGCTTTAGAATGAACGCCTCTGATTTCCTGACGTCTTTTAACGTCAACGTGACAGAGAAATTCCACTTACAATTGAAAAATTAAATAAAACTCGATGACATAAGCAGGCTAGGTGTTTGAATTTTTTTGGCCGTGATGGTACAGCGATGATGACTCATCGGCCGGGCAGCGTTCGCTAACGAAAAGTCTGGAAGCGAAAGTAGCGATGGGCAACCCAGAAAAACCTCGAAGCGGCGTTCTCGATCCATCGAGAGGAACATAGTCGGGAACGAGGCTCATTCAGTTGATTCAGCCAACGAGTCGAGTCCAGTGATCCAGTGAATGTTGCGCCAAAATTACATAATCGCTGTGTAATTAGTCGTGTAAGTTTGAGTTGAGTTGATTTGAGTTAATCCAAGATTAATAATCGATTTTACGGAATATCTCCGGTCAGTTGGAGAAGAATTCTGAAGATTTCTCCTATCGAGACTAGAGCTCGGATTGCAGCACTTGAGGACAAGATCAGGGCTATGCTTTCAAAAATGGGCGAACAAATGAACGCAAAAATGGAAAAAATGGACACAAGAAGTAAAGAAATGATAGAAGAAATGAGCGCAAGAATGGAGAAAATGGGCCTGTCTAATTTGCAGAGCACAGTTTATCTTGCAGACTAGGGGTTAAAAATACTGCAATCAAGTCGAAACTCGACATTTGCTTATTTCTCAATACGAAGATTATTGATACAAAATTTCAACCCGTTCGGAGAAACTCTTAAAAACCACCCCCAAAACAACCTTGCAGACTGGGGCTTAAAAATATTCCAATCAAGTCAAAATAAATTTCTTCTTATTGACAAATTAAGAAATATCGAGTTTTGACTTTATTGGAGCATTTTTAACCCCCAGTCTGCAAGGTGATTTTTGAGGGTTTGTTCAAATAGGCTGAAATTTTGTATCGATAATCCTCATCCGTATTGAGAAACTAGCGAATGGCAAATTTTGACTTGATTAGAGTATTTTTAAGCCTCAGTCTGCAAGGTTGTTAAAATATTCGCTAATTTCTCAATACGAGGATTATCGATACAAAATTTCAGCCTATTCGAAGAAACCCTCAAAAATCACCCCCAAAACAACCTTGCAGACTGGGGGTTAAAAATGCTCCAATCAGGTCAAAACTCCAATCACCCTCAAAACAACCTTGCAGACTGGAGGTTAAAATGCTCCAATCAAGTCAAAACTCGATATTTCTTAATCTGTCAATACGAAGATTGTTGATACAAAATTTCAACCCGTGCAGACAAATCGTTAAAAACTACCCCCAAAACAACCTTGCAGACTGAGGCTTAAAAATACTCTAATCAAGTCAAAATTTGCCATTCGCTAGTTTCTCAATACGGATGAGGATTATCGATACAAAATTTCAGCCTATTTGAACAAACCCTCAAAAATCACCTTGCAGACTGGGGGTTAAGAATGCTCCAATAAAGTCAAAACTCGATATTTCTTAATTTGTCAATACGAAGATTGTTGATACAAAATTTCAACCCGTGCAGACAAATCGTTAAAAACTACCCCCAAAACAACCTTGCAGACTGGGGCTTAAAAATACTCTAATCAAGTCAAAATTTGACATTCGCTAGTTTTTCAATACGAGGATTATTGATGCAAAATTTCAGCCCATTCGGAGAAACCTTCAAAAATCACCCCCAAAATAACCTTGCTGACTGGGGGTTAAAAATGCTCCAATCGAAACTTAGTGTTTAGTTTTTACCTATGCGCGAAGTGATAATACAAAAAAAAACAGCCTTTTTTAAGCTGCTCTTAACAAGTACCCCAAAGCAATCTTTCATAATGGAGCTTAAAAATACTCCAATTGAGTCGAAAGTTACCACTTGCTGAGTTCTTTACACAAAAAATTATCATGTTAAAGTTTAGTCAGCTTGAAGCAACTTATAAAAATGATTGATAGTTCACATTCATTTAAAGTACAAGTAGCAGAAAAATTTTAGACACATGTAAAGAGTACATATTTCTAAAGTAGGTGCGCACCATAGAGGTACAATGAGAGGAGGGAAGATAGAGGTAGTCCTCCGAGAAACTGATTGTTCCAGTGGCGTGCTCGAAAGCGTTTGCGGGATACTAGAGATAAAACAAAAATATTTTCATAAGAAAGCGTATAAAAGCAGCAGCAGCAAATTTACTTGAGTTGTTAATTGGTTAAGATTCGTTGCGACGGTCGTCGTGTTATCTCCACCTTCGCGCAAACCGAGCTAATTCCTACAACTGTGGCATCACCTAATGATCTTAATATGCATTGTTAATTATGAAAAATATTCTTTTGTTACCTTTTATAACTTTATTTTAATGTATATACACTGACCGGCAAAAAAACCGATCACCCTGAAAAATTTCGCAAAACCAAACTTTAAAAATTATTAATTTAACTAGTGATCGTTATTTCATTAAAGAACTATTCACTATTGACACATGATGTATAAATTAGCAAAAAAAAAGAAGACAAACAAACACAGAATTAAATTTAATTTAACAAAATAACAGAAACAGAGCGACAATTTGAGAGACAGAAAAAGAGCTAAATGTTTAAAACATACAGCATCGCAGTAGAGATAATTCTCAGATGTTGGCAGCTATTGAGAATTTATCATTTTTTGAACAATCGTGTGGTTGTGCTGGGCGATGAAAAATATTTTACGTTTGCCTATTCAGAGATGGAAGGATGCATTTTATACAAACAGTATAGAAGAAATTACAAATAAAATGAAGTCGAAGACAAAGTTTGAAGATAAAATTTTGGTTTGATGGGCTATATTTTCGGCTGGCGGTTCAGCACCATTCATTGGCCGTATTAGAAGTGACGCGGTCAATACATAACAATATATGGGAACACCATAATAACGAGGATGTAATATTTTGGCCAGATTTAGCAAGATGCCATTATATTACAATGTCCAGGGATTGGTTAGAAAGAAATAATATAAATTTTGTACCTAAGATAATCCCCCCATAGTACCCCCAGTGCGAACAATTGAAAACAAAATTTGGGCAATACTAAGTAGAAAGGTTTACAACAACGGCTGGTAAGAAGAACAAATTACCAGAAAGTTAGAGAAATGGACGTGGACACCATCCAAAGTAAGACCTATATATGAAGACAATTTTGCGTCGTATTGAATATAACGGATCTTTATCTGTTTTCCTATTAATAATAATTAATTAAGGAATTGGCACTTTTCTGGGTTCTTTTTGAAATTCAAATAAAATTAAGTTTGAACTTCCCAAGTATTATTAATTTAAACTTTCTCTCAAAACGCCTTTTTTTACGTTAGGTTTCTCAGAAGTTAAAAATGTCTCTAATTTTCTTTAAAATATCTTTAAGATTTTGTTCCCTATGAATTTTAAATTTTTTCTTCTGGACACCACTTTGTATTTTTTGACTGATGATGAAAGTGTAATTATACCTCAAAGAACTCAAAACCAGCATATAGTATGTACTGAATGAACCAAGTTAACAGCAAAAATGACGTGTACAAACACACCCTAAAATGAGAAACTGGACGAAAAAATGTCGAACTTATGCATTCTTACATAGTAGCAGCTGATTATTATCTAATAGTGATAAACATGAACTCAAATTATCGCAATTCACGTATCTATAACAAATACTCCTATACTTATTCGTAATTTATATATTTTTTAAATTTAAATATTAATAAATTAATTAAATTAACAATAAAATAATAAAAAAATTAATTAAAAAAACTAAATTAAATTTAAATAATAACATAATTTTTTGAAGTGATTCGTTAGGGACCCTGAGCTTTTAGGGCGATCGCTGGGTAGCCGGACGAGCCAGTCCGACCAGTGATCTAATAGTAGAGAGAGATCACTGAGTCGGACGCTGTTTTAATCCCTAGTCTGTTTCTTTTAAGGATTTCTCCGAATGCATTGAAATTTTGTGTTAACACTCCTCGTTTTGATAAATAAGCAAATGTCGAGTTTTGACTTGACTGAAGTATTTTTAACCCTTATTCTCCGAATAGGCGGAAATTTTGCATCAATAATCTCCGTATTGAAAAACAAACGAATGTCAAATTTTGACTTGATTCGAGTATTTTTAGGCTCCAGTCTGCAAGTTTGTTGTGGGGGTAGTTTTTAACGGTTTCTCCAAACGGATCGAAGTTTTTAATCAACAATCTTGGTATTGAGAAATAAGCAAATATCGAGTTTTAACTTGATTGAAGCATTTTTAACCCCCAGTCTGCAAGATAAACTGTGGTCTGCAAATTAGAAAAGCCTGGAGAAAATGGACGAAAAAATTGACGCAAGAAACAAGACAATATACGAGAAGATGGACACAAGAGACGAGAAAATGAACGCAAAAAAGAAGAAATGAACGAAATGATGGATGCAAGAGATGAAAGAATGAACGAAACAATGGATATTATAGACGTGAACATAAATAAGCAAATCAGCCTAACTGAAAAATTCCAGAAGGAAGTAGAAGCAAACAAGAATGAAATAGAGGAAATCAAAGAAAAAATGAAGGACCTAAAAATAAATTTAGAAAATATGGAAAATATTGTCGGACGAAATATGATCTAAATGGAGCATCGGTTAAAAAGTGAGTTAGAGAAATAATGGAAGATCGAACGAAAAATATAGAAGATAGAATAGAGAAAATAAAATTCGATTTCTAAAGAATTGCAGTGGACATAGCAAGTCCTTTCCCGGTGACCCTGGACGGAAATAAGTACATAATGGTCGTCAGCGATTACTTCAGCAAATGGCCCCAAGCTTATGCTATACGGAACCAAGAAACCACGACGGTTGCAACAACGCTGATTGACAATTAGATCAGCAGGTTTGGGGTCCCAATGGAACATGATTCAAACCAAGGCAGAAACTTTGTGTCAAACCTATTCCAAAGGGTTATTGAAGTACTAGGGATACGAAAGACACGGACTAACTACACCGTTGCACCCGCAGTCAAATGGAATGGTAGAACGGTTCAATCGTACCATGGGAGAACATCTTTCGAAGGTGGTGGCCGAACATCACAAAGATTGAGATCGACACCTACCATTGTTCCTACTGGCTTACCAATCAGCTGTCCATGACACGACGGGTCAGACACCGGTACGCATAGTTTTCGGAAGAGAACTTCGTCTTCCTTGTGACATCTTGTTCGGCTCCCCGAATGAAGAACCAAAGGAGAAACTGCTGAATGTTCATGAAACGGTACGCCACAAGATCCGGGTGGCGAGTGACATAATGAAAACACGCTACAACCTTAAGGGTAACTCAGCAGGATTCCAGATAGGGGATTTGGTATGGCTTTATAATCCCTGAAGAAGGAAAGATTGTTGCCTGAAGTTGTCACCAGATTGGGAAGGTCCATATACTGTCGTGACGAGAATCAACGATGTCGGTTATAGGATTCGACGACGACCGAAGACGAAAATAAAGATCGTCTATTTAGACCCGAATCGTACTACATATCAGACAAACAAATATCCAGATTCCACACATTTACCGAATATTTACAATTTATGATAATCATTTCAAATACATAAATGGAGATGTTTATTTTTATTTTACTTATTTATTTTATTTATGTAGTTTTTAACAGGCCGAGGCCCAGTTGTAGGAAACGGGACGTACACAAAAACCCGCAGGCTTGTTACTTTGAATTTTTAAATAATGAAAATTTGCGCTTCCATCTGTCACTGAATTACAATTTAAAGGTTTTATTTCCAATGGTCTCTTAAAATTTCTGTTTCGAGGTCGATAATGTAGTTTCCTCGTATTTAAATTTATAGTTTGACATTTTTCGGAGTGCCATTTTTGAAAATGAGTTCTTCACGCAGTCCCAGGGGAAGTTTGAACCACAACCAGAATCCACCTCCTGTCGCAACGAATGGCAACAACGATCCCCGACACAGTTTAAACCAAGACGGAGGTTCACGACGAAGTGCACAAGAAGATGAGAGTCCCAAGCAAAGTTTGAAAGAAGAGCAAGGTCAACAAACGAGTCCCCACCCAAGTTCTGAAGGAGGGAAAGGTTTACGTGAGAGTGTTTCCGAGGAGCCTCACCAGCCCGCAACCAATTTGTCGGCGCTTTGGGAAGAAGATGAGCCGGCTGAAGAACTATCGGATCAGTTTCCGTCTGGGACTTCAACAATCGAAGATGAGGAAGAATTACTTGATTCTTTAATTAAACCTCCGTCTATAGATTATGATGAGCCCAAAAGTGCGTGTGCTCTTCTAGGTAAAGTGCTAGAAGAAGGTGACACAGCAGGTTACCTAAGAGACTCTCTGCAAGATAGCGTCGAATCGATATCTTCCGGGCTGAAAATAGCGGGACAGATTATGTCCGAAATTTTTAAGAAATCCACCAAGCCTAAACCAAGAAGGAAAATGAAGAAACCTATAATGAAGAGCGGTTGGATGCGCATAAGTGACGTGATTCCTAATTTCGATATTAGTAAGTTTATTGATTGGTTATACGTATGAAAACAGAGAATATCACGATTTACTTAAATAGCAATATTTACAAAATTTAGAAAAATAATTGATCGTAACAAGCGCCCTTTACAGATGACGAAATCTTCAAGAATATTATGTTCAGTGAAAATCTGTTGGTAAGTACTTTTGATGCGAGTCAACCGCAGCCCGTTCCTGTTGGTGGGTTGTGTCTTGACATTCAGCGAGCAAGTGGAGGCCCTCTCAAGTACCAAAACAAAAAGACTAGAGGAGATTTCTTGTTTCCTAAATTTCTTGTTCATTTGTCGTCACAACTTGATTATATGGGGCACAATGGGGGCTCGAGGATTACGGCGTGGGTGGACAGAGACTTGCAGACTCTGGAAGAGAAAAGAAGAGAGTAAGTTTAACACATTATTCGCACTTCATTCTCGTAAACTCATATCGCATTCGCTATTTTTTCATTGGCTGCAACCTAACTAAATTGAACTGTTAAGATACCTACATGTGGACGAATACCTAGATCAGCAAATCCTCTACGTAAACTCCCAAGAAAACTTTTACTACTTGAGACACGATAAAAATAAGGACATGTTTTACAGTCCAAAAAAGGCGAGGAATTTGATTTGTGAAGGTTCCAACTTTATCTTGATGAGGTATTTAGCCATGACGAAATTTGTCGGTACTTTTGAAACCACTACGCTATACATCGACGGAAGCCTCTGCAGAAATATTTATGTAAATATCTCCCACTCTAAGTTCTTTTGAAACATGTTTAACACTTTCAATTCAATTCTAGGAATGCAAAGGTCCCTCTAGCGGTGTAGTCAACAATAAAAAATTAGACGTTTGTAAAATCTACCGGACAATAATAGAGGAATGCGGAATTGAGCACAGATGTATCGCTCTCATGACTCTGAACGGCCAAATCCTGAAACAGGAATGGCAGTTGTGCGACTACCTTTTGCAATTAAATCCTTTGATCCAGATACGCGACGACAGACTATCGGGAATCCCATTGGAATTCCAAACGGACGATATGCAACTACTCTCGTTATATTTAGACTCTAAAGTAAGTTGAAATGGTTACAGTTTCCCACAAAGTAACAAACGATTCTGTTCCCTGCTGGGGATTTTTTGACAAAAGTGCTTGTTTAGGGTACTAAAGGAAGTTTTTTTAGGTTTCTAAGGCAAAACATATTCAAAATTACATGGAAGATCATCCGGAAATCAAAGCTATGTTGTCTGATTATGTGCAAACTATTCTTCACCTTAAACCGGAGGACGTTTTCGAATTTACCGCCAAGTATTTTCTGTCGTTCACTCCTGCTCTCTTGCCACAGAGCGAGTACTTCGAAGCTCCGCACGATGCGTACGACGAGGATGATTACGAGTTTTGGAAATATCTGTGATTATATACTATAGTATTTTATTTAAAGAAAATATCGTTTTCTTTGCATAAATGTGTATATTTTTTAAACTTGACATCCCAAATATCGCTTTAAAGGTAATTTGATTGCATAAAGGCATTATCTCTGGAGTTAACAAGAATGAACATCATCAACTGATAAGCTATGGAATGTGGCAAGAATCGATTGAAGAAACGTGAAGGTAGTTTTGTTCATGCGAGTACACACAATTGACCCTTTTCCTGTAAGATCGTAAAACTTCCATCGTGACTTTCCGTGCGCACGCATCTTCAAAACCACGTTGGAAATAGTATCCGGCACTCCGGCAGCAGAGCAAAGGCCTGTGACCACAGTATAGACAACAGTCAGTATGGACAACTCGTGTCGGCACCTTTGATCTTTTTGACCCGAATTTTAAGCCGTCATCGGTGGTCGTTGTCCAAAATATTTCTAGATGTCGCCACCTAATTTAAAAAGGATCACAAACGCTTTATTTTAAAATTGATTCGTGTACACAATTTACTACACTTTGTGCAAATGAATTTTTGGAAAAGACTTAAAAATAGTGTAATAACAATAACATTTTATAACTAGTTGATCTTAGAAACCACACAGTCTATTATAATAAATAATTAATTAAGCGCCCTATAACAGGGATGCCATGTTGAAATTTAGATGTGGCCCGCTTCTCTGATTACGATTTTACGTTTCATTAATTTCTTTTTCATGATGGCTGTAAATGGTTGTAAAATTCAACTTTATTAAAAAATGCTAATATATGTACATTTAATTTTTTTACAAAAAAAAAAAAAACAGTAAACAATGGTCCTATGAAAACGTGAACAACGCTTTTTAAAATGTCTGTATGAAAGTTACACTTAACTGCAATAATTACACCGGAAGATCAGCCTTAAATCATCAAAACCAATGCAACTAAACTGCCAAATTTCAAATATTTCACAATTCGCATTAACGTCACTAGATAACAAAAGTACCGCAGTTCAATGTCCCAATGTGTAAGAAAGAGAAGTACCTTGCGTTGCGCGCCCTCATACGGTCACAAGACAAAGGACCACCCATGAAAACGGGTCAGTAAAAACAGCGAGTTGTCTCTACTGATTGATATCTATACTGTGCTGTGACAACAAACCGCTTTGACAGAATGCAACCGGCTACACATGCGTAATCTGTCGCTCATTGGTTAATTTTAACTTGGCGCTCCAAAAATCTGACTTCGCCTGCGCGTAGTTGTCTCACTCTGTATCATTGGAATTTATATAATGTCTACTCACTTTGCTTACAGGAAAAGGGTCAATTAAATCTTGACATCTGTCTAACACAAGTTGGTAGTAACTGGTGTTGGTAAAGCAAATATTATCGAAAAAAGCAAGCAGTTATTTAAAACTAAAGCCGCTTTTGTACGTTTTTTACTTCCCGAGTGTAAGTCAAGGAAGTATTGTAATAGGGTCCATCGAGCGCGCCTGGTTACTTCCATGTTTTCGCGACGTTTCATGACCCCCAGAGTTTCCGTCTGTCTGTCTGCAATCGATTTTTATTAGACAGATAACTCCGAAACCACTGAATCAATTGTTGTCAAATTTTGTATGTTCATAAGAATATCATGTATATGGTAAACTACTGACTAAAATTCTTCACCAACAATTTGATAACGTCGTTTCAAATTTTTTTAGTAAACGTCATTTAAATTTTATAAAATAACATAGTCCTATATTTGCGGTTTATGAATCGGCCTTGATTTTTAACTTCCCGAACGTAAGCTAAGGAACTATAGTAACCGATGTCATCAGATGAATGCTACTTTTATGTTTTCTCAACGTTTCATGACCCCTACAGTACGGAAAAAGTAGTATTATGTTTCCGTTTGTCTGGTGTCTGTATCCAATTATATTAGACACGTAATCTCGAAAACTGCTGAACCGATTGTTGTCAAATTTTGTATGTATATTAGAAATATCATGTAGATGGTTAAATGCTAACCAAAATTTGGCTAAACACACCCATCAACAATTTGGTGACGTTATTTCAATGAATTGTATTTTAAAATGATTAGAATATTATACAAAAATATACTCCTATAGTTGTAGTATACGAATCCGCTTTCAGTTTTTTCGCTAAACTTCCAATTCTTCGCAAAAACAATTGCACGATATAATGTTATAAATATTACTATCACGAGATATATGAGCTCGTCGCTCAGTGGCTCAGTAGCTTACTCAACGAACCGGTGACATTGTGTCGTGAGTTCGATACCGAACTGAACGCTTTCCTTCTTTTTTTTCTTGCACTGGTAACGCGCTGTGACAACTTTTCTTTTCTGCTGTGACTAGTATTATCCATCTTGATGGCGTCATCACAAATTTTTTATTGGTCAAATTAAAAACGAGTCAGTTACCCCATTTTCTCGAGAATGTGAGAAAACGCACGTCTTCATATAATAATGATAAAATAAGAATTATAATGTTCATAACATTTTGTTCAATTGTGGTTTAATTAATAGTTTTAGTCCTTTGTTTTGAGAAGACAAAGTCATTCAAATGAATAGAGAAATATGTATTTTGCAATTACGCTCCGCCCCTCGGTCTAACAACGAATGAAAAATTCATCACAATTGACATCGGAGCGGGTGGGTGGGGCTTAATCTTTGTTTTTTTGTTTTAATAGATAGAATTTTCTTTTAACAACACGATAGTTAAACATGTTTTCAGTTTCTTGTTGGGAAAAGATAAGCACCGCCCACCCACCCCTTCTCAATTGTGATGAAAATTTTATTCATCGTGAACTGAAGGGTGGAGTTTAGTTGCAAAAACCTCATTTCTCTACAAGAAATTACCATATGAAATACTCGTATGTTTTTAAAAGGGTAATTTTTTTTTTAGAGAAATATTGATGTTACAAATAAACTCCGCCCTTCGGTCTGATTAGCAATGAAAAACTCATTACAATTGAGATCGGGACGGGTGGGTGAGGCTTAATTTTTGTTTTTAATATATAGTTTTCTTTCAACAACAGGATAGTTAAACATATTGTCAGTTTCTTATTGGGAAAAGAAGACTTTGTATATTAAGAAAAAATGGACCAAACATAAGCCCCGCCCACCCACCCCTTCTCAATTGTGATGAATGCTTTATTCATCTGAGCTGAAGGGCGGAGTTTAGTTGCTAAATCTTCATTTCTCTACAAGAAATTATCGTATGAAATATGTTTTTAAAAGAGTAGAATTTTCTAGAGAAATAGGAGTAATATGTTACAATTAAACTCCGCCCCTTGTCTGATTACAAATGAAAAACTCATTACAATTAAGATCGGGGCGGGTGGGTGGGGTTAATCTTTGTTTTTTTTTTCTTTATATACATAATTTTTTTTCAACAGTTTTTTGCTCCAAAGAACAAGAGATATAATAAAAAACATCAAGTCAATTTATTATTCAATAATTTTGGATTGTATTGCTAATGCAGGTCACGTAGAATCACTTGTACTTTCTCGTTTTTCGCGAAAAATTGAAAAATCTACAAATTGAAAACTCGTGAAATTTCAAATCGAAAAACTGCAAAATCTAAAAACTGAAACGTCCAAGAGTTCTAAAAATTGAAACGTCCAAAAGTTGGAAAATCGGAAAACTGGAAAATTTAAAACTAAAAACTCGAAATGATATCGTAAAATTAAAGAAAAAAAAAAAAATAAAATAAAAAAAAAATGCAAATTGAAAAACTGACGAAACAAAAAATTGACAAATTGTAAAAACAAAGAAAATTGCAAATGGAAAAATTAAAAATTGAAAACTCGAGAAACTCAGATCGAAAAATGCAAAATCTAGAAATTGAATTGAAAAGTTGAAAAATTGAAAAATTAAATTTAAACTTCAAAACTCGAAAAAATGAAAGAACAAAAACAATGAAAAATTCAGGAAAAAATTCAAGCCAAATAAGCTGCGGGAACGTTATTTACGCCACTGGTTTTTACTTTATAGGGTTTATCAGAAAACAAAAACTCGCAAAAAATGATAATTTTTTAGAGAAATGGGATTTATTTGCCTGCACTTCAGGGGCGACGGGAGTTCTGTTGAAATAACCTTCGATATTTTGGGCCCCCCAAATGTATTTTTTTAAAAATGTGAAACCTTCTCGGAGGTTCTAATTGTCTTTTTACTTCCCGAGCGTAAGCAAAGGAAGTATTGTAATCGAGTCCGTCGCCCGACTCTCTACTTTTACGTTTTCTCGACCTTTCATGACCCCTCGAGTACGAAGAAATAGGTCTCCCGTTTTCGACTGTCTGTCTGTCTGGCGTCTCGGATTTTTATTAGACAGGTAATCTCTGAAAGTACTGGGCCGATTGCTGTCAAATTTTGTTTTATATTAGGAATATCACGTAGATGGTAAAACTCTAACTAAAATTTGTCTAATCATCCGCACAATAATGTGATGACGTCACTTCAAAATTGTACATAGTAAATGAGTTTTAAGTAGTAGTAGTTTATGACTCTGTATTGAGTTTTTACCCGAATGTCCAGATTGGGGAAAAAAAATCAAAATTATAAAACAACATTTTGCAATTTAAATTTGAATCTGCAAAACCATAAGCATGATAAATGTTTACTTAAAAAATATATATTTAATGCGTGAATTTATTTCATTGATTTAATCAGGAATTAGAAAACCGAATGCTTTGAAATCTTAAAGAAGTTTTAAAGTTATTCATAAGCATGGTAAATTTTTGATCAAAATGTATTTGCTCATCCCCCCTAAAAAATTGGTGACGCCACCTCTGAACAAATCTTTAATATGCTAAGTTTGATGAGTTTATTGTGATTTATCACTGCATTAATATTTTTTAGATTTGCTTATACGGAGTGTCTCAAAAAAAATCAATGAATGAGTCAATTTATATTATTGATTAAATCAAGAATTGCAAAACTGAATACTTTGAAATCTTGCAGACGTTTTGAAGTTATTGTACGCAGAGTTATAAAAAAAATAAAATTTGCAAAATCAAATCTTATAAGTCAATAAAAAAATTGACTACTTTTCTTTTGTGTTGTGACTAGTATTATCCATGTTGATGCCGTCATCACAATTTTTTTATTGGTCAAATTAAGAACAAGTCACCCCATTTTCTCGAAAATGTGAACAATACGGACGTCTTCATATAACAATGATAAATAAGAATTGTAATATTCAGAACATTTTGTTCGATTCTGGTTTAATTCATACTTTCAGTCCTTTGTACTCTGTATATGTTGTGGTGTCCTGAATTTAAAATTTAAATTTAGCGCTGAGGAAAAAAAACAACCTTGCGAAACCGTATTTGAAAAATTAAAGCCAAGAAAAAGCATTGAATAATGTAGGCAATCACCAGTGCATGTTCATCCTGTAGGTTGGTAGTTGATAATACAGACAGGAAGCAGTCTGAAAGCGTCCTGCAGTGAAAACACAGTCAAATTGGTACGTAATTTTCTTTGTACATCTGCCATAGGGCAACTGTTTAAATAAAATGAATCACATTCAACGCCACAGTCCTCATTCAACAAGTGTAATTAGTGTAATATCAGTTTATTTTTTTATAGTGATTTTCTAATCTAAAATATGTAAAACTTTTTAAAATTAATTGTGTATGGTTACAGTATAATGTAACAACAATAGTGTATCTAAACACATGATATAGATCTTGATCTTCTGGATGTTTTTACTTAAGTTATTACATTATCTACCCTTCATAAATAACTTCTCCTAGAACACTTGATCGACTTTAGACTAATCTTAACCGTTGATTCATTTTGAGAGAAAGGACCTTGAAAATTATAATCAGTTAAATTAATATCATCATGGACTGGAAATGGGAGGTGCATTTTATATTTATTTTGTATTAAATATATTAAAGTGTTATTTTTTTGATCCGAATTATCTTTTCACAGCTTGAATTTGAACATTTATTCTCGAATTACATAATATCATATTAAGAGATTTTTTAATGAACTTTGGGGTTCTTTTATTCTTACCTTAACTGATTTAGCTTAGCCTAGTTTATGTTACATATATACACTAACAAACCTTACTCTATCTTTTACTTACTTCTTTATTTGGTGTCTAATGGGTAACAAATTCCACATCTGCTTATAATTTTCGGCATACAGTGTTCATGGAAGGCATGTTTACAATTGAAAACTGTTATATTGGTAGTACGCGATGGGTCTTTCTCAATGACCATACGATGGCAAGCCCCACAAACCATTTCCTCCGAAACGGACAGACCTTTCTGTTGAGTTCGGACAAGTTTTCGCAACAGATTGAAATAATCGGAGACTAGGATTTTTTGACAGCCTTCTTGGACAGATACCTATAAATTAAAACATCAAAAATATAATCATTGGTCGCTGAATTCGCTATACTCTCTTTAAAGATCCACCAACACCGCATTTAACCTCAAAAAACAATTACGTAAAGCACCCACACAAATCAAGATGGTGGACCTTCAGTGGGTGAACACGCAGTATATATTTTTATACACACCTGAAGATTATACTGATACAACATTTTAACTAAAGAGTGTTTTAGCCCTGGCACTTGCATGCCATTTTTGATTTTTTGTACTAAAACGGTTGGGTCAACGTAAGTTCCGATACTTTGTAAAAGGAAATTGACGAACTCTGCAAAATCATAATTCCAGTGTAATAATAAAGATAATAATAATCGACTCACCAGGTTTGTCTAACGAATGATTGATTAAATTATTCCATAAATCAGGATCATCGTGTTCCTGACAAAACGAAATCGCCTGCTGCATATCTTTCAGTTCATTAATAATTAGGTGTAAAGCCTCCTCAATGTTGCCCATTCTACCCAACAAATAGACCATCTCCGGATAAAATTTCTCTTTTTTGCAAATATCTAGGGCTTCTTGTATGGGATAATGATCACTTTTTTTCAAAAACGGAAGCAGTTTTTCCCGCGCGAAAATCGCGTACAGCTTCACCAACTCCCTGTGGTACTTCCCCTTTGGGTTCTTCTTGTCGTATTCGTCTAAAAACTAAACCGCGGCTTTAACGTTTTCGGTTGTAGTTTTTAACGCACCCTGTATAAATGTAGTTCCGTTGGGCGCAGCTTCTCTACTATTTTATCAGTGGAGATGGTGTTTTTATCCAAAAGCAGAGCAATGGTTTGCTTGTGGTCTAGTTCCATGAGGTCGATGAGCATATCCTGGATTACACCATATAAATTGTGTTTTTGGATTAGTGTGAACACATCTTTGTGTTTTAATCTAGGGAATTTTATGTTGTTTGACGTTATGTTGGACGGTTAGGGTTACTTACTTGAGGTACATAGATAAGCTTTTGTCATAACGTTGAAGGAAACTGTAAAGGATTGCTAATGCTTCCAGGTAAAGGTTTTTGTCGATTTCGCAGACGAGCAAGTGCTCCAAAACGGCGTTTATCACAGCTGAAACGTTGTAGAGCTTCGGATTCCATTCTTTGACCAGGCTGAGGAAACCCTGAAAGGAATGTTTTTGATTTTATAAGTTCATGTTTAATTCAGTAGTTCAGTAGAAGCCAAGTTTAATAACAAATTTATCATATTTTCTCGAGCTGTCTTGACCTCTAAAGTACGAAAAAAGTGGTCTCCCGTTTCCGTCCGGCTGTCTGTCTGGTGTCTGTATCCATTTTTATTAGACAAATAATCTACGAAACTACTGGACCGATTGTTGTCATATTTTGTATGTGTATTAGGAATATCATGTAGATGCTAAACGCTAAATAAAATTTAGCTTAATCATCCCCACCACCAATAGGATGACGTCATCTACAAAAGTTATAATAAAAAAATAAAATACTCCTGCACTTGTGGTGTGTGAATCCGTGTCGAATTTAGACACACTGAATTTTTGAAAAAAATTAAAAACTGAATAATATTTGGCAATATTTGCAAAACCGATTGCTCTGAAATCTTGTAAATATTTTAAGGTTATCGTAATCATGGTAAATTGTCAAGCAAAATTTACCCCCCCCCCCCCCCCATATGCAAAAGATGATTCATCGTTGCATTAAGTTTTTTTCTTATACAGGGTGACTCATATAAAATTAATAAATAAGTCAATTTATTTTATTGATTCAATCGGAAACGGCCCACTCCATTTTCTCGAAAATTTTGGAATACAGTTCTGTTATCATTAGTATTACACTGCACCTGTCCAAAGTGATATACGTGTCCTTGCAAAAATGTTGATGAAAAAATAAAATTCGCATAATCAATTTTATTTTTACTTCGATTTTCCAAGTTTTCGATGTTTTTAACTTTGGGACTTTCCAAATTTTCGATTTCTTGATTTTTTACTTTTTCAATTTTTCAGTCCTTCAATATTTGGAATTTTTAAAATTTGTATATTTCAGATTTTTGATGTTTCGATTTTTCGGTTTTTCAATTTTTCTACTTCTCGATTTGTCCATCTTTCGGGTTTTCGATTTTTTGATTTTCTAATTTTTCAATGTTGCAGTTTTTATTTTCCAATTTTTCGTCATTTCAATTATGGAATTTTTCAATTTCTAGATGCTTTCAGTAATTCGATTCTTCAATTTTCCGATTTTGAATTTTTTAATTTCTCGGCTTTTTGATTTTTAAATTTTAAATTTTTTCAATTTTCGATTTTTTGATCTTTCGATTTCTCGATTATTCAGTTTTTTGAATTTTTATTTTTTTTTTTAAATTTAGATATTTCGATTTTTCTATTTTCTAATTTCTCGGCTTTTCGATTTCTCAATTTTTCAGTTCTTCGATATTTCTATTTTTCAATTTTTCGAATTTTTAAATTTTTGGTTTTCCAGTTCATTGATTTTCCAATTTTTAAAGTTTACATTTTTCGATTTTACTATTTTTTGATTCGATTTCTTGATATCTTGCTTTTATGATTTTTAAAATTTTTTCACTTTTCGATTTATGGATCTCTCGATTTTTCAGGTTTCAGATTTCTTAATTTTCCACAGTTCAGTTTTGGAAATTTCGACTTTTCGATTTTTAAATTCCTGGATTATGTAATTTTTTGGTTTGTAAAATTTTTGATTTTGTGTTTATCAAATTTTTTGATTTTGAAATTTTTCGATTTTTCTGTTTTTCGATTTAACTAGATTCCGATTTTTCAATATTTATTTCAATTTACCACTTTTTTTTATTTTAAATTGTTCAGTTTTTTTAAGTTTTCCACTGTGGACTATTTCGAGTTTCCAATTTTTCGATTATTCGACTTCTCAACTTTTCGATTTATTGATTTCTCAATCTTTTGATGTTTCATTTCTCGATGTTTTAATTTTTCGGTTTTTCGATTTTCGGCTCTCTAATTTTCCGATTTTTCATTTCTTGATTTCCCAATTTTTCGGTATTTTCGTTTTGGAATTGTTGTTTCTCGATTTAAGTTTTTCGATTCTCCAATTTTCCGACTTTTTAAATTTTAAATATTTAAATTTTTCGACTTTTCAATTATCTGATCTTCCGATTTTTAAATTTTTCAATTTTACAATTTTTCGGCATTTTCGTTTTGGTATTTTTCAGTTTTTTATTTTTCAAATTTTTAAATTTTACATTTTTCGATTTTTATGATTTTTCGACTTTTCAATTTTTCATGCTTTCGATTTCTCAGTTTTTCGATAATAATTCAAGTTCGGGAATTTTTCAATTTCTGGATTTTTGGGGTTCCGAATTTTCGGTTTTGCAATTTTCGATTTGTTGGGCTGCACTTTAGAGACGAGGGAAGTTCTGTCGAAATAACCTTCGACCAATTTTTTAAATATTTTATACATAGACATTAAGAAAAATAGATTTACCTAACTTTTTTTGTAGGAAAAAAAAACGATAATTATTATTCCTAAGATTAACTATAGGCTTTAATAATTCTGCTGAAAACAAGTAAAAACCTTTTTTGGTAATTTTTGCAACACCGAAAATAAAGTAACAAAAAACAATTTTTTTATGTTTCGATTTGTCGAGTTTTTAATTTTTCAATTTTAAATATTTTAGATTTTTCGATTCTTCGATTTTTCAGTACGTCAATATTTCTATTTTCAATTTCTGATTTTAAAATTTATGATTTTTAATTTTTCGATTCTTTAATTTTTCTTCAATTTTTCAAATTCTCGATTTTTAACTTTTTCAAGTCTACGATTTAAAATTTTTCAAGTTTTTAATTTTTTCTCGAGTTTTCGATTTTTCGATATTTTAAAATTTCAATTTTTGAAAGTTTAAAATTGTATGTTTTTCAGATTTTTGATGTCTCGGTTTCCGATTTTTCGGTTTTTCAATTTTCCGATTTTAAAATTTTTGATTTAAATTTTTCAATGTTTTATTTTCCAATTTTTCGGTTTATCGTTTTTTTTTTTCAATTTTTAACTTCTCGATTTTTCGACTTTTCAATTTTCCGATTTTTCAATTTTTCGCCATTTTCGTTTTGGAATTTTTCGGTTTCTCGATTTATCAGTTTATCGATTCTCCAATTTTTCGTTTTTTTCATGTTTCGATTTTTCGACTTTTCAGTTTTTCGAATTTTTAAACTTTTGGTTTTCCAGTTTATTGTTTTTTAATTTTTAAAATTTTACATTTTTCGGTTTTATTATTTCTTATTCGATTTCCTGATATTTTGGTTTTACGATTTTTAAAAATTTTTCACTGTTCGATTTTTAGATTTCTCGATTTTTCAGGTTTTAGATTTCTTAATTTCCCACAGTTCGTTTTGGGAATTTCGACTTTTCGATTTTTATCATTAATCATAATTCCTATCATTAATTGTTAAGTTAAGTTGAGTGGTTTTGATTAAGTTTAATATTTTCATACATGTAATTGTCCTATTAATGGAACATTATATTCTGTTGGACAATAAATTTTATCTTATCTTATTTTTTAGATTTATGGATTTTTCGATATTTTAACTTTTCGATTTTTGATGTTTCAATTGCTCGATCTTTCGATTCTTCGATTTTTCGGTTTTTCAATTTCTCGATTTGTAAAATTTTTAATTTTTGATTATCAAATTTTTTTATTTTTAAATTTTTCGATTTTTCTGTTTTTTGGTTTAACGAGAAACCGATTTTTCAATATTTATTTCAATTTTTCAGTTTACCGCGTTTTTTAATCTTAAATTGTTCATTTTTTTAACTTTTCGATTTTGGACCATTTCCTCCTATTTTTCGACTTTTCGGCTTTTCGATTCTAGAACGTAAACTATTTCAATTTTTCGTTTTTTTGATGTTTCGATTTCTCGGTTTTTCAGTTTTTCGATATTTTAATTTTTCAGTTTTTGAAATTTTAGATTTTTTAGTTTATTGATTTTTCAATTTTTCGAATTTTAAAATTTTTATAATTATTCGACTTTTCAATTTTTAGATTTCTCGATTTTTCATGTTTTCGATTTCTCAGTTTTTCGATAATTCAAGTTTGGGAACTTTTCAATTTCTGGATTTCTCAATTTTTCTATGTTTTAATTCATCGATTTTTTGATGTTGACTTTTTTTTTGTAAAAGTCAAAACCGGATATTATATTAAGATATAAGCTATAGGCTTTAATAATTCTGCCCAAAACAAATAAAAAACTTTTTTGGTAATTTTTGCAACACCGTAAATAAGTAATAAAAAACAAGGAAAAATTTACTTAAAAAAAAAAAGTTTTCTGATCTTCAAGAAGTTAAAACTGGATACAATTTTTTAATGTATGGTTTTCAAACCAATTAATTAAAAAATAATTACTCAGTCTGTTATAAAAAAAATTATTGATACTTGCCTTAGCGTCCAACTTGAGAAATTCATACAAAATCATTTCATAAATGTGCGGATTCAGTTTAGATTCTAAAGTACGAGGAATGTACGGACTCACAGACCTAAAACTTTGCAATCAGTTCCCACAGTATCCACAAAAATAAAAACAACCTTAATTGATGAACTGTTGCGAATTTGTAAATCTGGTCTTCCCAAGTGTTTGAATCTTTTCCGAAGATTTTCATGCACAATTTCCCAGCAGAGTCGTACATTTCCCTACTTAACAAGTGATCCAGATAATCTATACCAACTGATTGGACTGTATGCCTATGTATATGTCGACTATCATTCTGCATTAAAATATCAAGAGCGTCTTCGAATTTACTAAAATACACAATTAAATAAAACATTTTCAACAACAAAAAAATAACAAACTTGTGCTGAATAAACCACTGAATTCTATCATCTAAATCATATGGACTAGCGATAACTACATCTCTTGGAGCAACGATAAAAAATCTATTTTCGTCAATTAAAACATCCAAGTGGTAATCATTAACAGTGTACTCTTCATATCCTCGAAGTGATAAACTATCAGTACAAACATCCGAATAATCGTTATCTCTATATTCAACTATGTACAACTGCGGACGCAAAGACTTCTGGTTTTCATCTAACTCTTTGGGAAAACCTAGTAGGACTAATTGGTGATCTAGAGGAGCTATGCCACATATGTAAAACTCAGTTTTGAACGTAGAAACTGGATCTACTAAATACTCCGGAAGGTCTCTATTAACCAACTCATAATTACTCCGCCTCCGTATCACACAAACTCTTACGGTATCCACCCACCCAATCAAAAGGGTGCGACTATCAGCCCATCGCAAGTTACATCGGAACTTGTCAATGGAAATCCCTGGGTGTTCCTCCCATTTAATTAAACCAAGAGAGCATCTTGCTGTAATATCATAAACTCTAACTCCTATGTTACTGCTCCACGCGATAAAGTTCTCCCCCCAACATAAACTCCTCACTAATCCCTCGCTTTCACAGAGAACTGTTGGTTTCAAGCTACCCAGGAATGTACGTTCGTAGAGGGTTAATTTGTCATCTCCTGTGATAAAGCGTCTATTTGCTCCATATTTGTAATACATCGGATCCAACGCGACAGTTTTCACTAACCGTCCTACGTTCAAGTGGAGGCTGTTTTCTTTTGAAAATAGTCCATGAATGAAGACTTTCCCATCATCCGAACAAGTGGCAATATATTCTCCACTCCCGTCTATGCAAATTTGGTTAACTCCGACCGTGTGGGGGCGCAGTTCTTTGCTTTTTATACTGTTGCCTTGGTGGTCGAGCAGGTGGATGACGCCCCAATGGGACCCTATGCATACAAACTAAGGGAGACTTAATCGGAATCATGGCTACATAAAATTTACCTTCGGATGGACACCTATGCAGGTGGCAGACGATGTTAAAAGAATGTTCTGGAGGTCATTGGAGAGACGTACGTACTTCAACTTGGGCTCGATTTCATCTTCCAAACTTTCGGTGTCACTAGTGTCCTGAAATATAACCTCAAAATTCGTGCACGAATTTTGTGTAAAATTTACGTCTGAGGGGCCGTTACTTACATTAACGCTCGGTTCAGACATTGTTTTTGTTATTATTGTGGAATATTTTCATTTTTGGAACGATGAATCATTGACAAGTGACATTTCGTAATCATGACAGTTGTGTCAGGTTGTGCCAACCAGTAGATAGTAGTGATAATTTTTGTTATAAATTACGCTAAGGGCTAGTTCAGACTTAATTTTTTATTGTTATACTGAAACAATGGACGTACATCCATGTGTAGAAATAAGTGTAACGAATAAATTATACAGAAATATTGATTCTCAAATGTCACACTAGTTGGCAACCCTTACGCCCACAACATAACCTAATTTTTAAGTCTGCAGCATTTCCCTGTTTACAAAATGTTAACAACGTACTTAAACACGCTACCTTACACAAAATTCGTACTAATAGAGGGTGAGTCACCCCTTTGGTTCTTATTTTATCCCTTACTGTAATTTTGTTTGTCTAGATTCAGTGACAGCTAAAGGTGGCGAAATTCTAGAATACTTACTCAAAAATCATGAGAATAAACAAGATTATCGCACCCATTTGTTCGTATTTGAGCGTAACTTTAATCAAATTAAGAATAAGCATCCTGGTAGCGAATGTCATGACTTTACAAGCGATCTACGCAATTGGATGTCTTTGACTACATCGGATATGGAAACTGTGATTTCAAACCTTGAGGAGAATTGCGTGGTTGTTATTGATTCGTTGGTACACGTTTTATACAGGTATGGATTATTGGGGGCATATCAAACTTTCACTGATATTAAAAATAAGAAAAGTAAGTTGTACAGCGAATTTTGTGTGGTTGGTAATTGTGGGGATTTTAGATGTTCAACAGATTATTACAGTGTTGCATACAGATTTGTTAGAAGATCGGGATAAAGTCATTCAGTATTTCCAACACTTGTCGACATTACATATGGAATTGCAACCTAAAAGAGTCTTATACACGTATAAAAAAAGTCAACGGAAGATTATTAAACAGGTTTTATTCTGAGTTAATGTGCATAACAACCAATAACTGAAACGTTGTAGCTTGAGGAGTATTACTGTGATTCTGGCAAATTTATAACACAGCCAATTAAGAAACCAGACAAGGATGTTATTCGTGAAACTGTTGAACAAATCAATCCAGAAAACATGTCAACGTTTAAAATAGGACTTTCAGAGAAGGATAAAGAGTCAAGGAGTAATTTAGTTTTGCCTTATTTGCCAAAGTAAGTAAAGCTATTAGTCCCAATGATATTGTCATTTTTTTTTAATTGTTGCCACACTAAGAAAGCAAAAGTTACTACTGTCACTCTTACTGATGAGTGAACATATGTGAAAAAAATTGGTCATACTTATACTTATTTTAAGCATCATCTGTTCATAATTTATGTAACGTTACAGGGAAACTAACAGTTCTGATGGAAAAATCCATTACGCGTTCGACGATATAGACGATTGGGATGAAGAAGACCCTGATGATGATCTTGATATTTAGTTTATATGGTTGTTGGTAAATAAATATATTATTATTTTTATTATTATTATTATTAATATTATTATGAGTAATCCCTCAACAGGCTGAGAGCCCAATTACTGAGGAATAAAAACTAGAAAATAAAGGCAAAAACAACTAAGTAAATATATAGTTAGACACTGAAAAACTGCTTAATTTTTGCTGGCGAAGTACTAAAAATATATCAATTTCCGATTCCACCTCTCTATAGTTTTGAAGCATTTGATAAACCAGAGACGATTTCAATATGTTTGTTCTTGGGACAGGCATATGCAACAAAAAATATGATCTTAAACCTGGTTTTAGCACACGTAGCTTTAGGATCTTAAGAAGATCTTCACATTTGATATGATAATTTAAAATATTATGTAACATTAAGATAGAACCTGCTTTTCGCCTGCAGACCAAACTCTGATAGCCAAATCTACGTAACAGTATATCATTTGGAATTTCTCTTGTAGGGTAAACACCATCACAGATATATGACAAGAATTTTAAGAATCGACGCTGCGTTTTTTCCAACAGAGAAATGTAGGTTTGATAAAAAGGGCTCCATACCACCGACGCATACTCCAAGACGGATCTGACGTATGATAAAAAGAGAAGCCTTAGAACATCAAGGTCTTTAAATTCCGTCGCGTTGCGAACAACAAACCTTAATGATTTATGCGCCGTTGTCGAGAAAACCTCATAGTGTTCGTGGAAACTTAATTCAGCATCATATGTGACACCCAAGTCACATACATAATCAGGGCGTTGCAGGACTCTTTGATCCAAGACGTAGTTGTATACAACATTTGAAAGTTTAATCGAATATGACTTGACGATGCATTTATCGGCGTTTAACAGCAAATTGTTTTTTTTTCGACCATAGCAACACACGATTCAAGTTGTCTTGCAGACGAATACAATCCAAAGATGATTGTACGCGAAAAAAGATTTTCAAATCATCTGCATAAAGCAAGGAAGGAACGTCCAAAACATCTATAATGTCATTGATATACATTATAAACAACAATGGTTCCAAGACCGAGCCCTGCGGTACACCAGATGTCTGTGGAAACTGACGTGAGGAGCAACTGTTACAAAATACATACTGATATCTGTTGCTTAGATAAGATTTAAAGACACTAAGCAAACCGTCGGAAAAGCCAAAACTCTCCAGTTTTTGCAGTAGAATACGATGATCAGTGCGATCAAAACCCTTGCTAAAATCCAAATAAATGCAATCAACTTGAAGATGTTTGTCAAACATTTCTGAGATATATTGTGTCTTGATCATCAAATTCGTGACAGTCGACCTTCCTTTAATGAAACCATGCTGCATCGGTGACAAGTGCTGCGAAACATGCGAAAAGATGCGAGCATGCATTACAAATTCAAACACTTTAGCAAAGTTGTTGATGAAAGCAATTGGCCTATATTCACTGATTTCCGCAGTGCTTCATTTTTTATGAATAGGTAAAGTCCTAGATAACTTCCATTTGTCAGGAAATTTTGAATTACTCAGAATCAAATTGAATATAACTGTTAGTGGAGGAGCTAAAATTATGCCACAGTCTTTCACAAAGAATGACGGAATCTCATCGGGCCCAGCGGTTAACGTCGGCTTTAGTTTCTTGATGGCTGTAAGCACTTCAGACTCGTTAATTTTTCTAACATTTAATATATTTTGATTTAACGCACTCACAAGATCACTATCAACAGACGTATTCAATGAGGTGCCACTAACAGAATGAAAAGACCTGGCAAAAAATGCGCAAACGCATCAGCAATGTGTTGAAGGTTGGAAAGTTTGTTATCATTGTAAACCATATTAGCTGGAATACATGCATGATTCGATTTATTTTTAATAAACGTCCAAAACTTTTTTGGATCTCTCTTAATATCAGAAGTGATATTTTGCAAATATTCTTTGTAGGAAGTTCGAATTAAGAGTTTTACAGTGGCGCGTATGCTTTTTAAGGCATTGTAGGATTCCGTTGTTTTATTTCGTTTATATTTTTGCCACGCTTTCTCCTTTAGTTTTAAGTTAGAAATAATGTGTCCATTATTAGGATAAGGCCTTGAAGGTTTTCTCTTAATAGGTACAAATGAAGAAAATAAGGGTTCTAATTTTTTATATAAGTTATCAACAACCTTGTTTACATCAACACTCGCGTCAAGAAAAGAGAAGTCAGTATTCAACATAGACTCATACAATGAGGAAAGATCAGCTTTCCTGAAATTACGGGATCCACCACAAATGCCAGAAGGGTTGCCACCTTTACTAGTTTTTTAGGAGGACAAATCGGCACACAACGCTGGATGATATGAATCCTCAGTGCTTAAAATTTCAACAGGGTTAGAAACAAAACAATGAAAATTAGAAAACACAAGGTCAAGGAGACGATTATCACGATTTAGGTCACCATTCCATTGCGTAAGATTAAAAAATTCCGCAAAGTTAATGCAGGCATTGATAGCGTTATTTGATGTACCTCCCATCTTAGAGAAACTATAGAACTGGGAGATATTTATATCGCCTATAACAATTAAGTTAGCACTGAATAATTGGTTAATGGAAGATAGACATTCAAAAAGACGAGCATAATCATCAACTACGGCAGAAGGAGGTATATACAAGACAATTACAAATACCGATTTATACATTAGTCTAACCCTAGCAATTAAAATGTCAATATGCCTGATCTCATCAAAGCCAGAATTAAGCGAGTAAGGATCAATAGTAGTTTCAATTAGAAGATGCTTTTTAGCAGCAATCAGTACTCCTCCACCTCGACTAGTGTCCGTTGCTGCAAGATCACGATCCTTACGATAGACATTAAAAATATTCGGTTCAAATAATTCATTATTAGACACATCATTTTTTAGCCAGGTCTCCGTGAGGATCAAGATGTCATACTGGTCATAGAGTTCAAATGTATATCAGCAAATTTATTATTCACACTTCGAATATATGATGTTAAAGTCTTTTTTTTTTCTTCCTTCAGTCTTGATTTATTAAGTATCTCGGCTTGTAACAGACCATATTTTGAAATTCTTAAAATTTAGTAATGTTTTTAAATGTGGTAAACGTGAATTACGACTTTGAAATATAGAAATTTTTTCTGCGACAAGTAAGTGTTCTTTGCGTCACGCCTCTTCCCAGAATAATGAAACACCACCAGGTAGAAATCTATAAGATCGCAGTAATTGCGATGGAGTATCGCCAGGTTTCCAACCACTTATTAGAAATTATCTTTACAGAGTTTATCCCAGCATGCACAACAGAAAATTCTAAATTGTTTAGACCAATCGAAAATTAGGTTTCTCCAGTTTAACTTGTTTAGACCAACCGAAAATTAGGTTTCTCCAGTTTAACTTAACGCCTTTTATTCCAAATCGTCGGCTAAACTGCTTCTCGTTTGTCTTCGAACTTCATTCATAAACCCAAACGTCAGTTACAAAGTGCATACTTACGTTGTACTTTTCTGAGAGGTAGATCCCAACGCCGGATAGTTCAGTTGGTAGAATACCCACCTAGCAAGTGGAATTTTTCATCGTTTTCCACATTAGTGATCATCGACAGACAACACGTCCGCAGATCAGGATTGGATCTACGACCGTAAGAGTGGTCGGAGCGACGCCAACAACTTATTTCCTTCGTACTCGAGTTGGCTGGGGAGGGAGTAGGTACTGTAGCGGCACAGTGCAACGTGGAAAGTGATAGAATACACTCTTCCGGCAAGTGGGAAACGGTGGGTCCGAATCCCAATTCCAGCTGTGACATTTTTCCTCGTTTTCCACAAACTACTAAGAGACATACTGCCTCAAGAAATACAAAAAAAAAAAAATTGAATACAGCATCATTTTGCAACGACGTTTGGACTTCGTAGCACACTAGCAGCTTTTTCGAATCCGAAAAATCGAACTGGGTAAATTTTACCGTCGTACAGAAAATAGAGGCAGTTACTTACCCTGTACCATCTTATTCTTAAATGGAACACGTATTTGCATGGAATTAATAACACTGTGACGGGCCGTAACTAAATCAGTTCAATGGAAAATCGCAACAAAAAGACGAAAGACAAATCCCCAGAACATAAAAACAAAATTCGCAAATTTGCAAATCTTAATTACTTAACACACATGTCCAAATCTGCATGTAGTACCATTCAAACAGACAATCAGAATCGACCACCAGTCCCCAAACGTAAGAACAAAATTCGCATATTTGCAAATATCAAATACCATTGCGCTTGTCAGACATTGCAAACAACATACGCAGAACTGTACACCCATAAAAACCGCCAATTGCAATTACTTTCATTAGAATTCATACCAAAACTAAAACAATACGAGTTAATCTGACGCCGAACTCGCGTAAATCCATCAGAGTCGAAATCCTATTCAAACCAAACTAAACCTTATAAAACAGCAAAATAAGACCTAAAGTCACGTCCCAGACAAACCATAACTTAAGCTTTTTTATTGCTCGCTAATGTCGCGGAAGACGAAATAAATGGGCAAAAATCCCTATAAAAGCAGTGGCGCAGAAAGCGATATTCATCCCTGACCGTCTGGTTGCGATTTTTCCACTATTTTTGGCTGAATTTTGAAGAAATCCGGACTTAAAAAAAATTGATGAGACTAAGAAGAAGTCAGAAAAATTACCATGCTGCATCGGTGTAAGTCTACCCTCAGTCTCACTTCACTTATCTCGCTCTCGCTACCTACCCTAATGTGTTCTCGACTTCGGTCGTACCTATTAACAGTTTAATTTATGCGTTTTGTCGGTGTTTTCCGATGCGTTTGGTGTGAACAGATAGTGCCGGGGCAGAAGGAATTTTTAGCGTTAACGGAATTTGATGTTCTCGTTTGTGGGCGGTACTCTCGGCCGTGCGTCAGGCTTTTGGTAGTCGGGTAGGATTTTCTGATAATTTACAGATCGCCTTTTATGAAAATTAATCCAACGTTTCCACGGAACTATTTTAATCTGATTCCTTTGCAATAATTGATATTTTTTTTTAGTTTATTAGC